AGTTATCAAAGAAACGAGGCCGGAAGTGAGTTCTAGAACTCGAAATGTACAAGAAAATGTATTTAGTTAAGTTTCGAAAATGCCAAAATTTGGCCGAAATTTGGAAGGAAAAATTTCACTAAAAAAAAAGTTGATTAAAAATTCTGAAAAAATTCAGGGATGTAGATCTCGATTTGCTGTTCCAAAAATATAGAATGTTTATAGTCACGGAGCAAATTATTCGCTAGAATCGGTATGAAATACGAATTGTTGAAAATTTCTAAAAATTTCGATATTTCAACGGTCGATTCCGGGAAAACGATTGCAGTTATCAAAGATACGAGGCCGAAAGTTAGTTCAAGAACTCGAAATGTACAAGAAAATGTATTTAGTTAAGTTTCGAAAATGCCAAAATTTGGCCAAAATTTGAAGGAGGGACCATTGGAAAAATTTCATTAAAAAAAAAGTTGTCTAAAAATTCTGAAAAAAATCAAGGATGTAGATCTTGATTTGCTGATTTCAAAAATATAGAATCTTTATGGTCACGGAGCAAAATATTCGCTAGAGTCGGTATGAAATGCGAATTTTAGAAAATTTCTAAAAATTTCGATATTTCAACGGTCGATTCTGGGAAAACGGCTGCAGTTATCAAAGAAATGAGGCCGGAAGTGAGTTCTAGAACTCGAAATGTACAAGAAAATGTATTTAGTTAAGTTTTGAAAATGTCAAAATTTGGCCGAAAATTGAAGAAGGGGGGACCATTGGAAAAATTTCACTAAAAGAAAGTTGTCTAAAAATTCTGAAAAAATTCAGGGATGTAGATCTCGATTTGCTGATTCAAAAAGTATAGAATGTTTATGGTCACGGAGTAAAATGTTCGCTAGAATCGGTTTTAAATGCGAATTTTTGAAAATTTCTAAAAATTTCGATATTTCAACGGTCGATTCTGGGAAAACCGTTGCTGTTATCAAAGAAGCGAAGTCGGAAGTGAGTTCTAGAACTCGAAATGTACAAGAAAATGTATTTAGCTCTGTTTCGAAAATGTCAAAATTTCGCCGAAATTTGAAGAAGGGAAGACCATTGGAAAAATTTCACTAAAAAAAAATTGTCTAAAAATTCTGAAAAAATTCAGGGATGTTGATCTCGATTTGCTGATTCCAAAAATATAGAATGTTTATGGTCACGGAGCAAAATATTCGCTAGAATTGGTATGGATTGCGAATTTTTGATAATTTCAAGAAATTTCGATAATTCAACGGTCGATCCTGGGAAAGCGGTTGCAGTTATCAAAGACACGCGACCGGAAGTGAGTTCTAGAACTCGAAATGAACAAGAAAATGTATTTAGTTGAGTTTCGAAAATGTCAAAATTTTAGCCGAAATTTGAAGAGGGGACCATTGGAAAATCTTCACTAAAAAAAAAGTGTCTAAAAATTGTTTATGGTCACGGAGCAAAATGTTCGCTAGAATCGGAATGAAATGCGAATTTTTCAAAAAGTTTCACCAAAAAAAAGGTGTCTAAAAATTCTGGAAAAATTCAGGGATCTAGATCGCGATTTGCTGATTCCAAAAATATAGAATGTTTGTGGTCACGGAGCAAAATCTTCGCTAGGATCGGTATGAATTGCGAATTTTTGAAAATTTCTAATACACTTTTATTTTTCAACTGTCGATTCTGGGAAAACGGTTGCAGTTATCAAAGAAACGAGGCCCGAAATGAGTTCTAGAACTTGAAGTGTACAAGAAAATGTATTTAGTTCAGTTTCGGAAATGTCAAAATTTCGCCGAAATTTGAAAAACGAGGACCATTGGAAAAATTTCACTAAAAAAAAAGTTGTTAAAAAAATTCTGAAAAAATTCGAGGATGTCGATCTCGATTTGCTGATTTCAAAACTATAGAATGTTCATGGTCACGGAGCCACATGTCTGCTAGAATTGGAATGAAATGCGAATTTTTGAAAATTTCTAAAAGTTTCGATATTTCAATGGTCGATTCTGGGAAAGGGTTGCAGTTATCAAAGAAATGAGGCCGGAAGTGAGTTTTAGAACTCGAAATCTACCAGAAAATGTATTTAGTTAAGTTTCGAAAATGTCAAAATGTGGCCGAAATTTGAAGAAGGGGGACCATTGGAAAAATTTCACTAAAAGAAAGTTGTCTAAAAATTCTGAAAAAATTCAGGGATGTAGATCTCGATTTGCTGATTCAAAAAATATAGAATGTTTATGGTCACGGAGTAAAATATTCGCTAGAATCGGTTTTAAATGCGAATTTTTGAAAATTTCTAAAAATTTCGATATTTCAACGGTCGATTCTGTGAAAACGGTTGCAGTTTTCAAAGAAACGAGGCCGAAAGTGAATTCTAGAACTTGAAATGTACAAGAAAATGTGTTTAGTTAAGTTTCGTAAATGTCAAAATTTAGCCGAAATTTGAAGAAGGGGGGACAATTGGAAAAATTTCACTAAAAAAATAGTTGTCTAAAAGTTCTGAAAAAATTCAGGGATCTAGATCTCAATTTGCTGATTCCAAAAATATAGAATGTTAATGGTCACGGAGCAAAAGATTCGCTAGAATCGGTATGAAATGCGAATTTTTGAAAATTTCTAAAAATTTTGATATTTCAAGGGTCGATTTTGGGAAAACGGTTGCAGTTATCAAAGAATCGAGGCAGGTAAATACATACTTCTCGATGTCTCAGTTTTTCGATAATTCAACTTTTCGATTTACCAATTTTTCAACGTGTCAGTTTTGGGATTTAATTATTTAAATTTTTCGATTTTCCAATTTTTCAATTTTTGGCGTTTCTAAATTTTCGGATTTTTCGATTTCTCAATTCCTTGATTAATCGATTTTTTAATTTTTCGACTTTCGATTTTTTGTCTTTCCCATTTCTCCATTTCTCAATTTTTCGATTTCTCATATTTTCAATGTTTAAGTTTAGGGATTTTTCAATATGTATTTCGATTTTTAAATCTTTATATTTTGCGACTTTGTTTTTTTTTTATTTTTTACTTATTCGATTTTTCAAAATATTGCGACTTTTTTAATCTAACGTTTTTCGATTTTTCAGTTTTTTGATTTTTCGATTTGCTGATGTTTTGATTGCTCGATTTTTTAAATTTTCATTTTTTCGAATTTTTAAATTTTCGTTTTTTTGTTGCTTCGATTTCTCAATCTTTCGATTTTTGCCTTCTCGTTGTCCGATTTTTCGGTATTTCAATTTTCGAATTTAATTTTTCAGTTTTTCGAAGTTTTGATTTTTCACTCTTTCGGTTTATCGGTTTTTTAAGCTCAAATTTTTCGATTTTGAATATTTCCATTGTTCAATTTTTAGCCGCTTCTATTTCTCAATTTTTTCATTTTTTGACCTCTCGATTTTTTTATGTTCCGATTTCTCAATTTTTGGCGTCTCCAAATTTTCGGATTTTTCGATTTCTCAGTTTCTCGATTAATCGATTTTTAATTTTTCGACTTTTCGTTTTTTCGTCTTTCCGATTTCTCGATTTCTCAATTTTTCGTTTTCTCAGATTTTCAATGTTTAAGTTTTGGGATTTTTCAAATGTATTTCGAATTTTACATTTTTCAATTTTCCATTTTCTTTGATTTTTCGATTTGTTGATGTTTTGGTTGCCCGATTTTTGGAAATTTTTAAATTTTTGATTTTTCTTTTGTTGTTTCCATTTCTCAATCTTTTCTTTTTTTGTCTTCTCGTTTCTAATTTTTTTTAAATGTTGAATTTTTCCATTTTTTGATCTTTAGCTATTTCGATATCCCAATTTTTCGATTTTTTGACTTCTCGACTTCTCGATCTTTTGATGTTTCGATTTGCATTTCTCGATTTCTCAGTTTTTCGATTATTCGTATTTTCGATTATTCGAGTTTCCAATTTTTTCATGTTCAGTTTAGGGATTTATGTGTTTAAATTTTTCGATTTTTCAATTTTTCAATTTTTGGTGTTTCCAAATTTTTAAATTTTTCGTTTCCTCAATTTCTCGATTAATCGTTTTTTTAATTTTCCGATTTTTCGGTTTCTCTGTTTAAATTTACAGTTTTGGAATTTTCGACTTTGTTTTTTTGATTTTTTTCTTACTTGATTTTTCAAAATTCATCTATTCGATATTTTAATTTTTGGATTTTTGGATTTTTTCGATTTTTAAAATTTCTGATTTTTCAATTTTTCGGTTTTGAAAATATTTTTTGATTTCTCCTTCAAAAACGAAATATCACATATTTAAAAAAAAACGCCAGCCGTAAAATTCTTTCGGAATAAGGAACTTCACGGATCCTCGAGATTCTTTAAAATAATTTTAAAAACAAAATACAAAGCCCCCAAGATTCTTTTATATACTTAAACAAAATAATAGCCTGCAAGACTTTCTCTTTTAAACGCAAAAAATTGGTCTAAAGTTATTTAGAAATCTCCCCTCGCCTCTAAAGTAAAAATATATTATCAGTACATGTTTAACTTAGTCGCTGTTGTTATGACAATTTCTATTTTGTCATTATTAAATATAGTCGGGCGCAACATTAGTGTATTCTAAAATTTTCGACCACCGGCGCCCTCCACAAACCAGTGCTCGTATATTGGTATAAAATATGATGATCTAAAAACGAGAAGGCGAAAATCGAAAGAAAACCGTCAAATCGAAAATTGAAAAACTGAAATATCGAGAAACGGAAAAATTAATTCCGAAAAATTGAAAGACGGAGAAATCGAAACAAAAAAGTGAAAAATCTAAAATTTAAAAATTCGAAAAATTGAAAATTCAAAAAATCTAGCATTCACAACAGCGACAGATCGAAAAATCAAAAAACTGAAAATCGAAAAATGTAAGGTTTAAAAAGTCGCAATATTTTGAAAACTCGACTAAGTAAAAAAAAACCCAAAATTGAGATAGATAGAAAATAAATAGAAAACTAGTTTCCCTATGTTTTATGTCTTCGTTGAAGGTCTCTGTCTGCAGATTTACAATAAATTGAGCTTTACGGGTAATGTTTTGCTGTTTTCAATAATAGACGAAAATGCACTTTGTTATCATTCATATGTAATTAGGTATATTTCATTACAATTTCTTTATTTTAAGTACCAATTGATTAAGAACTAATTTAAGGAATTAAAAGTTTGACTAAGTTAATTAAGTGCCATATTATCACACGAAACAATTTCTTACAGGGAGTAAGGGTGATTACTATAAATATTTTTCCAAAATTCCATTCTATCAAATTCTGGGTTAACGTTAGCTGTTAATTTTTCTCCTATATCAACGAAATTAATTTCACTTGGTTTAACGGGTTTCCATTCTGGATTTCCTGACAATTCTTTAGAGTTCGGATTCCCGTATTTGGCAAAATTAGTCCAGTATGTAACAAACCGTTTGACAGATAATTCTTCCACACTACCGGGATTCAGCGGGGGAGAAACTTTTGTTTTAAACAAGTAACCGATATCATCTCCGTGACATACTCCTAAAATATAAAAAAGATTTATTGCAAAAAAAAATATATTTAGTTACCTGGGGCTGAAATCTTCCCAATTTTCTTAAATATATTCAAGCTGGTATCTGCAGACATTCGATATAAAAAAACAGGATACTTATTGTATACCGAGTGATGCTGGGTGGCAAACATGATATCTCGGAAAAAGTAGTTATCAGTATGTATCTGCAGAAAAATAATAAACATTACAGAATCTCTGCACGTTTTTAATTTACCTTGTAAAAATTGTCTAGTACATTTTCAGAATCTGGTTGCCCGTAATAAAATTCTTTTATTTTCTTTGCAATATTTTTTGAATTTTCGGAACCTCGAACTACTTGCAGAGCATGAGGAATAATGGTTTCGAAATCTTTTGGCGCACTAGGCTGGCGTGGTCTAATCTTCAGTTCAATGAGCATACCTTCCGTCGTGGTGTATCCAAATATTATAGGTACTTGGTTATAGTTACCAGATTTTAAAATTTTAATTGGTTGTTCCGATAAAAAAGCTTCTGCTGATGGTCGCTCCACAACTGGCGCAAACACTAGTTTTCCTCCAGAGTTGTTCAGCGCTTCACATGACTGCAAAATTTAAATTATTTCGCCATTAATTTAAGAAACAAAGTAATATGGATTAACTTACAGTAATGACTTTCTCAGATAGCTCAAAGAGTTCTTCTCCTGACAACGACATTAAACGTTGCAAAATTTCATGCTCAGTGGCACTTTTCATTTCCAATATGGACGCTAAGTGTGACGTAATGTCATCTCGTCCGGTAGCAAAAGAGTTTAATGCACATCCACTTTGTGCAATAGCCTTATGAAACAATCCTGAAAAAAGTGACAGAAAGTAAATTATGTTATAATGGTCCAAGTTAGTCCAATAATCGTACCTTTTGCTGCAGGCGATAGTACCAAATAATGAACAGAGGCACCTCCAGCGCTTTCTCCAAAGATCGTAACATTGTTTGGATCACCCGAAAAACTACTTATGTTCTTTTGAACCCATTTAAGTGCCATGACCATGTCTTTAAGACCAGCATTGCCAGGAATGTCCAGTGACGGATCTTCCAGATGCAAAAAACCAAAAATACCTAATCTATAATTTATTGTGACCAAAACGATATCTTCAGTTAATAAATATTCTGGTCCATAAACATCTCTTTTGCTAGATCCACTTTTAAAGGCGCCTCCGTGTATCCAAACCATTACAGGTTTTGGTCCAGTATTTGCGCTTCCCGGAAGATGTGGCGTGTAAACATTTAAAGTAAGACAATCTTCTGAACCCAGAACGTTGAGAAAAATCATGTGTCTTGAGCAACATTCGCTTCCTTCTTTGGTAGCATCTCGTACTCCTGACCATGACTCTGGTGGTTGTGGTGCCTAAGATTCAAAGTGTTTGTTTATATTATTGAGTTATTGTTATTATAATAGTATCTTACTTTAAATCTGAGATTCTCAATTGGTGGTTTAGCGTAAGGAATTCCATGGAAGCTGTAAAAATTTTCTCCGTTTAAATTTTCTGAAACTTTTCCTAATAGTTTTCCCTGGGCTAAAGAAACAAGTGGCTCCGTCATGATTACACTAGTTTTACTAAAAACTGCCAATCATTGGGTATATTACGATAGAAGCAAAGGTTAAAAGATAATAGTTATCATCAGAGATTACTGTAGGTAAACGAGCATTGTGTTTTCAGTTGTAAACAAAAGTGAATGTACAATTGTACAATCTGAGTTTTTTTTTAAATGGGATTTTTAGTTCATTTTAGTGTTTACAACATAGGGTTTCTCACACTTGGACCATTGTGGAGCCGTCTTCTAATTCTGCAAACTTAGGGTTTTTAAACGTCAAATCTACCTTCTTAGTATTCGGTTCTATTTTGTTTCTATTTATACGGTTTAATTTCTAAAATACCTTAAGGACTATCAGACGAATTTCAGCTTTATTTTTCTATTTGTTCATCTGACAAGCAAGAAGCCGTGGAATATATTAACTCAGATTTTGAATTTTTGAATTTTCTCGTATATGGATTTATAATAAATGTAGCGTTGCAAAAAATCTCTAAGTATATTGTGTATATGAGCAATTGTTACATAAGACTTAAGAGTCCCCAGTCGTCGCGTACAAAATCAGTTCCAGTGAGATGAATTATTTTTTGTAACTATGCAACCCAAATTACCAACCCATCGCAGGTACCGACCCAAGAGAGGGAAGATTATGGTCACTGTAGGGAGTCCGTCATAAAATGCAAACACCAGATAAACTTATTTATTTCCAAATGAAGAGTACAGGGGAATAACCATCCAAGTCCATTTGTATGTATTTTGAAAAAAGTTGAGTTGAAAGTTTAAAACGCTGCAGAAAATAGATTGAGAAACCCACAAGGTTCAGTTTAACACAACGTTTTATTTTCTTTATAATGTTTTAAAAATATATAAAATAAACTGTTAATGTCCAAACATAACAGGAAAAAAAATGCAATTGTTTAATCCTGTGTTCCAACTTGCAAAATTGTATGAAAAAATGAACTAAGTCCAACTTGAATGGTCGGTACTAAGGGGTACCCCTCAATGTTTCCCTGAAAAAAAGTACTCGTCGAACTCGTCATCACTTCGATAGCCACCTGTAAATGGTAATTCCGTGTAAAATGACTGAAACTCCTCCGACACGAACCACTTCAGTTCTTGCAGTTGATCGTATTTTTTCCTAGCCAAAGGTATCGAGGCAGAATATAACGCTTCAAGGTTAGATTTCCAGATATAAGAAACAGAAAAAACGAAAACGTTCGTTGGCATAAAAAAAATGTAATTTAAAAAATGACATCCTGAATGGACATATTAGGGGACCATTCTAAATGTGCAAATTATTTTTGTAAACAACGTGGACAAGGAAGTTCAACAATTTTGTCTACAGCACAATCCTGAACTTGTGGTTTATAAATACATTATTGAGATTATTCGGTTTTAGATTTCTTGATTTTTCTACTTTAGACGTTTCAATTTTTCGGTACAATTTTGGGCATTTTTAATTTATCTCCATTTTTTTATTTTTCTATTTTTCAGTTTTCCGATACAATTTCTCAATTTTTATCCTCTTCAATTTTACGATTTCTAAATATTTCGATTTTTCAATTTTTGAATTTTTCAAATTTTGACGCGTCTAAATTTTCAGTTTTCCGATTTCTCAAGTAATCTTTTTTTTATTTTTCCATTTTATAAGCTTACGATTTTTCGACGTCTGGATTTCCCGATTTTCAGTTTTTCGTTTTTTAAACTTTAGATTTTTCAATTTTCGGCTGTTTTATATTTCGATTTCTCAATTTTTCAACTTTTCGATATTTTAATTTTTCCATTTTTAAAATTCTAGATTTTTGATTTCTCGAGTTTTCGGTTCTTCTATATTTCAAATTTTCAATTTGCGGGATTTTTAAAATTTTCGATTTTCCATTTTTTTTAACTTTTCGATTTTCCAATTTTTCGATGTTTCGATTTTTCAATGATCCGATTTTTTAATTTCTCGATTTTTATATTTTAGATTTTCCAATTTTTATTTTTTTGATTTTTTCATGTTTGGATTATTAATATTGCTAAAAGTAAAAAATAACTACCAAAGTTGTGACTAAAAATATGCCAAAATTAATAGAAAATAGAACACAATGCTGCTATAACATAAAAATAACTGTACTTTCCCAAAAAAAATCTATTGCATGATTATGGTTCCACTAGTATTGCTAAATTTAAATAAATGTGATTATTCAGATAAATAACTGGTTAGTGCAATGATGAGAATCTACTTCTTGTCAGTTTTGTGTATCGATTCATATATAAAATTACAGATTATTAAAAAATATTTGAATAATTTGTTGAAAGAAAATATTTTAGTAGAGTGTATAAAATTATAAAAATTTGTATACTTTTAAATCAAATTATGTCAGCAATGAAGGAAGTCGACTTGTAAAAGAGTTTCAACAATGTTCGTCGGGTAAGAGTATTTATGAGTTCTATGAGCTGAACTGATTACCTGTAAGCATCGGTCGGCAAGGCTCCCTGCTGTGTCAAACTGAACCATTGATGGGAATGGATCCTTTGTAAATAGAGTTGCCTAGTTTCACGTTATTTTCATTATTCAATATTTATTTAAAAGCAAATATTTTGATAAATATAAATTTTAAACAAAAATGACCGGCTCTTCCCCATAGAGCTCAATGTAGTATTTGCACTGATATAAAAGTTGAAGCGAAACATGCTCTCTCCTCGTCTAAACACTGAAAATCCTTCGAAGAATGAACGATTAATTAAACACTAAACAATCACAATAACCTTTTTTTACCAAGTGTTTACTAGCGTACGGTGACTAGGTAAGCTGAAGTGCTTTCCCTTTAGACGAAATAAATAAATAAATAAAATGTGTTGTGCTGCTAAGCAACAAACTGAACTGTTTAAGAAAAAAATTCTGATTTTACTTACAAAAAGAACGCTACTCTGAAATCGAGGTTTTAGATGTCTAAATCAATAGAGTAAGTATACGTTCGAATTTTACAGTTTCTTGGGTCAAATGTTTGTTCTAAAAGTGGACATATGTAATATTCTAGATTTTTTGCACATTCAGTCAGAAAACTTTATGGTCTATTTTAATTTTGAAATTAAAAATGTCTGGTGTGTACTAATTAGTTCGTTTAAATCACTCAAAGATTTAATAAATTATATTATGAAATTTTGCTTTTGACTTTACGAAATTAAAAGTACATAAGGCCATGGATATTTTTAGTTACGTCAGCAGTTTTACCAGTGACTCATAGGGCAACAACCACTGGCTCATACGTTCACAGATGTAATTAATGAATACCAAATAGTCCAAAATCATTCTATTAGGTTCATCTCTGTGTTGTGCATACAAAGATCATGTTAAAGTTTGACCTATTAAATCAAACTTATAATAATAACTTAAGTCATTACTTTTTAAAAATTGGGTTTATTCATTGATTATAATAGCATAAATAGAAAAAACAAGTAGATTCATTTATTTTATTAAATGTTAAAAAAAACGGTAACTCTAAACATAAAAGTAAAGCATTTCTGTTGGATCATAACAAAATATCACAAAATAAAACAACTTCTTAAAAAATACTTACCCCATAACCTGGGTTGAGATTTGTATATATATTATAGATGATGTTGAAGTAAAAAACTGTGCTAAATTCTAGCTACAAATAAATACAGATGATAACACTTTTAATTTTTTGTTCACAACTTTCAAATGAAGCATATCAGAAAAAAACTTTTGAAATGCAAAATTTAACACGTACAATTTTTTTGTTTCGCAATAAAGGAGTGGATAATCCTACTTGATAAATTTTCAGAGGTAATTTTCCCCTTTAAAAGTGTTCATGGGCATTTAGAATTTTGCACAGTTTCTTACTTTAGTATTCTCTACGATATATACCTGTACAAATCTCGACCCAGGTTGAGGTTACATTATCACAAATTTTAATCACATCACTTAAAAAAAAAACTAGAATTAAATCAAATATTTTTTCAATAGTTTTTTTTTTCAAAAACTAAACTGCCTCTTCTGAGTACCTGAGGTGGAGGTACTTTCATTATATATTCATTTTCTTGGATCTTCCCCTGATCTTTAATGTCCGGAAACATAAAAGCATCCGGAATTTTTAGATTCCTTTTCAAAAAATCACAAAAAATAGGGTTAAGTGATAACACTGTACCAATGTAACATTTTTTGTTTTGTTTTTGAGTTATTAATTGTACTATAATATTATCGTCTATATTTAAGTCTGGTTTAGAACGATCAGTCTTACTATTTTCAGCATTGAGATTCAAACGAGGATTCAAATCATCAGAATAATTGGAAGAATTCAAACTTTCGGTGTCCGTGCTGTCATCATATTCGATACTACTTGAGTTGTCTAAGTCAGATGAGTCACTTGATATATTATAGCGTTTTTTTTTGGTTGCCAATTTGGACTAGTTTTTGAATTTGAGATGCATCTTTATGTTGAAGGCAGGTATCTGTTTCTGAGTTAACTCTACTACTATTACATTTCTTATTTTGAATAAATCTTTTGAGACGATCCACACTGACGCGATCCTTTTCATTGTCTAACAGCCAGCAAAGTGAAGACTTTTTTATAACTTTTGTTGTATTGTCTAAGCGTATTCTGACTAGATCACCTTTCTCAACAAAATTATCGTCACTATCAAAACTTCTAAGGTGTATGTCTCTGTCAAGTTTCTTAGATTCGTACGAAATTGTGCAAAGATCATTCAGTAAATCTTCATCTTGGTCAACTGGATCGTTTTCCAAACTTTGAAATCAATTACGTTTTATGGCTATTTGAGAATTGTTGTAATTTTCAATGTGATCGCACTGTTCTTCACTAAACATTTCATCTTCAACTTCGTCATTGCATTCATTGTCTTTACACGGAGGCAAAAATACATAGTTGAAATCTATCACTTTCATTCCTAAATCTTCAGTGTCACGCAGACAATTCCGTAAAGCTGATTCTACGGTGCTTTGTATATCTTTGAAATGTTTCCTAAGTCATCATTTTTCACAAAATTTCTCTTCATGATTGAACTTTTTTTCCTGATTTCTCTAGGAAAAACGAATTTTTTATCCAAATCGTTTTTAATGTTGTTTATAATTTGCAGTCTGTCACTTCGATGCAACATATATATCTCTTATACTAAAATTAACAATTGTGCTAAAAGTTGAGGTGATTGATCTAAGGCTTCTAAACATACTCTCACAAGTTTGAGAGCTAAACTTCCAAGGCAAGAATATATAATCAGTAAGATTACTTTTTTGAAAAATTTTAATTATTTTTATTAATGCGTGTCCATTGAGTTCAACGCATGTGTAGCAATTGGAAGATAAAAAGTTATCTTTTACTGTATACTGTCTTTGTTCATTAATCCATTTTTTCCATATTCGTAGGAAAAATATGCAATACCAAATGTTATATATCCTTTCTACAATAGATAACGTTTTGTCCAGAAATGCTGCCGATATAAGATACATTAGTTTCAAAAAAGCTGTTGTTCCTGCACTATTGTCAGTGTTGTCGGCTATCATTTTTCTTACTTCCGGGCTACACACTTTTTCTGCCGCTGCATAGTTCATTTTGTCTTCTTCTTTCAAATCCGTTATTGTTAGCATATGTTGATCTTTGGTGTAATTTTTTACTAATATCAAGGTGAGCAACTGTAGGAACGTAATTCCCTAGAGGTAATATTGAGTCTGATTTTAAAAACTTTGTTCTTAACTTTGTGATAATATAGTGTCTTCGACATACGATGTCAGATCGCTGTCACTGAAACCCATTTGGTACCATTCCCAATTATTCAAATGATTTTCGTCGGATGAAATAGGTAGGCGAGGATTTAAACGCATCGCCTTGAGAAGTCGCGTTTTCTTGCTGATTTCTCGTTAATTTCTCATTGATTTCCTCTTGATTTCCTTTTGGTTTCCTTTGATTTCCTCTGATTCCCTTTTTGATTTCCTGTGATTTCCTTTGATTTACTCCAGCGTGTACAATTGAATTCCTCTGCGGTTTACCCCTCGGCAAGTGTCATAACGGAGTACCTTCAACAACATAATGTTGAAGTTCTCCCCTGGCCTGCTCGTTCACCAGATTTGTCACCAATCGAACATGTGTGGGATATCATGGGCATACGTCTAAGTAACTTGTAGCATCCCCCGAATAATTTAAATGACCGTCGTATGCGGCTTCGAGAAGTTTGGGACGAGATCCCACAGGACACCATAAACCGTCTCCTTTCAAGGATGCCTTGTCGAGTAAATGAGTACATTAGAAATCAAGGTGCACCCACACATTATTGAATAAATTTTTTATGTCACAAGTTTTAGGCCCGTTATTGTAATCATTTATTTGATTCGATTTAATGCACATTTAGTGAAACTTTCGGTTTTATCAGTCAGCTAATTCAAGGTGTTCGGCTTTTTTTGGAAATCAGTAAGTATAATTATATTAAGTAGTTTTGTCACATTTGACATTATTTTGCACATTCTTTTGGCACCCTATTTTCAGTTACGAAAGGAAATTAACATCACTTCGATATAAAATTGTGAAGAAAATAAAGTAAAAACAAAACAAGAAAAATAAGGAATCGTTCCTGCGTTACGTTTAAAAGGCAGCATTGGTTTTTGTCGATATGATGGATTTATGTATGTGACATTATGCAAAGAACAATTAGCACAATAATGCTTGTTACGTAACTGTTGTTATTTACAATATTTGGTCTGACATGAAGATGTCATTAGTCATTACTCATTACATACTTAAGATACATAAATATATAACCTTGGATACGTGCTGTTTATTAATATCGTAATTAGTACTTTAGCCAGTTTAGATAAAATATCTCAGAAAAATGTTGTGTTATCAATAGTTTAGATTACACCATACTAATACAAAGTGAAAATCAATTAACACAATATGGTGGCACCTTTGGTAACCCTCCAAGATGGTAAAGTTAAAGGGAAGATATCCACTGACTTCTTAGGTGGAAAATATTATAGTTTTCTGGGTATTCCGTATGCAAAACCACCAGTCAAAAATTTAAGATTTAAGGTAAGCATTTATTAATGAACTGTTGTTAAATGTGACCATAAATATTCTTGTACTCAGAATACAGTTTTGTCTCCATACATTACCTTCTAAGTATTAAATTCGTTCCCAGGAATTATTTTTTATTTCATATTAATCAGTGTTACCAGGCGTTTGAAAAATGTTAAAATAAACAAAGTCAACACAAAATAAAGGATGTAACTATTAACATAAAACATCTGAAAAAATACTTTATAGGCTCCTGTACCGATAGAACCCTGGAATGGAATCAGAGATGCCACAAGAGAAGGTCCAGAATGTCCTTCATATCATATGCTATTTGAACTTTACATAGGCTCTGAAGACAATTGCTTAAATTTAAATGTTTATACACGACAGGTATTATTATTTGTAAGTAAAAATATATTCCTAAGACAATTTTGTAGTTACCATGCGACACCACTAGCTTGAAACCAGTCATGGTATGGATCCATGGAGGTGGTTTTGTACGTGGTTCAAACAGAAACGATATGTACAGCCCCGATTATTTAATCACTGAAGATATTGTGCTTGTATGCATAAATTATCGTTTAGGAATTCTAGGTGAATAAATTTGTATTAAACATACATTTAAATAAAAATTTTCAGGATTTCTCAGTTTAGAAGATTCATCGCTCGAAGTTCCTGGAAATGCTGGTTTAAAAGATATGATACTTGCATTGCAATGGGTCCAAAAGAATATACAACAGTTCTGTGGTGATCCCAACAATGTTACAATTTTTGGTGAAAGTGCCGGATCCGCTTCTGTTCATTATCTGTTACTGAGTCCACTATCGAAGGGTTTATTTCATAAAGCAATAGCTCAGAGTGGATGTTCCTTGAACAGCTGGGCTAGAGGCTGTAGTAACGGAGTAATAATAGCGAAGAATCTTGAATACGACGAGACAGACGAAAGAAAAATACTGGAATATTTAAAAAGTGTACCGGCACGTAAAATCGTTGAAGCTCAAGAGAAAACACTAGATGTTAGTAATTTATCATTATTTTTCTTTTAAGGGAAAACTGAGTTTTAAATTTAATAGAGCACAATTTCCCAACTGACTTTTCGTTAACGCCATATTGTATTCATGGTACCACAGTATGTTTGCTGAACTAATTTTTTATTAAAATAGTGCAACTAGTCAATGGAATAATGATCTTTTCCTAGCTTTTAGTCTTTCTTGTACATCACTATTAACATTAAAATATATATGTACTAAATAGTAAATAATTTTTCAGCCATTTAATGCAGGGACAATAAGACCATTTGGACCAGTTGTAGAAAAATATGGCACAAAAGGTGCATTTCTTTGTGAAGACCCTATCGACCTTATTAAATCCGGAAAATTTCATCACGTACCTTTAATTATGGGATACACTTCCAAAGAAGGAATGCTTTTCGTGTTTCTAGGTCAATTAAAATTTGGACACAATGGTGAAACAAATAATTTCGAAGAAGAAATTTTCTTTGATCGCAAACTAAATATGGATTCAGTAGCGTCTGAGAAATGCGCCCTAGAAATAAAGAAATTTTATAATCAGGAAGAAAATCAACCGGAAAAGGATATCGATAAATTTGATTTAGTAAGTTATTAGTACCTTAATTAGCCCTAGAAAACAAAAATTTGATTTTAGTTGAAAACCGATAACATGTTCCTTTACGGCATTCATACCTGTGTTTCTCACCAAAAATTGGTCAGTCAGGCCCCCATTTATTTTTACAGAATGACGCTTGACACGACAAACAATCACGCAAAGGAAATTTCTACTACAAAACACGTTTATATTTTAATGGCATTATACTACTTAATTGGCAAATTAGGTGATGGCCTTATCAAAAATATGCTTTTCAAACTGACGAAATTAATACCGCAAAATAAGCGGACTGGAGCGTGTCATAGTGATGATTTGTACTACCTATTCCGAACATTTATGAACGAAAAATTTGAGGAGGGAGATGAGAATAATACTTATATACTGAGATTTGTTAGACTTTGGGCAAATTTTGCTCGAACGGGTGATCCCACTCCCGACAAAAACGATCCACTTATTAAAGTTAAATGGACACCAGTAAATAAAAGTGAAAATTGTTTGTTAAATATTGATAAAGAACTGAAAATGTTAGTTGATCCAGATTTAGAAAGGGTAAAGTTTTGGGCAAATCTTTTTGAATGAATTTAATTAATTTTTTATATAGACATACATGTTTATAATTATTTAATACAAACAGTTTGGATTGTGCTAGAATTTTAATACATGTACGAATTAAATGTTTCTGTGCATTATTTGTTTTTGCTAGCCCTGCCAATTGATGGAGAGGCACTATATTGGGTGCTTATAATTAGAGAGCGGATTTCTAGGTTTAATGCTTTTTGTGAAAAATGTAAGCACTTCAAAGCTATTTTATATCTGTAACTATGATACAATTTGGAGTCATTTGACACATTTTTTTTATGCTTATTTTTGCTTTTTTTTAATTTTATGCATATTAAAACTTATATGCTTATTTAATGCTTTTTTCGACGAATATGAGTTTTAATGCATATTTTGTTCAAATGCCGGCCTTGTCGGGATAACAAATACTTGTTAGTTAGCCGTATCGTATCGTATGCATTTTACCTGGACTTGACCATTGAAGTACACTTACTCAAGACCCCTTCTGTGAATAGGTTCCGGTCGTTTGGGTAATAAAATTTTATTATACGATTGGAAAAATACTCTATAGATTTTATGACTTTAAATGCTTACTTCCGTTGATAATGAATTAAAGCTTTTAACCAGATGTTCTTTTTCGGCATTTTGCGGCAAGACCGTTGAGGATTTTCTAGAAAAAAGGATTATTGTACCCAACTACCTACCTTAAAATTTTTCTAATGGAAACTTTTAAGTAAATGGACCGTTTATTTCACAACCATCAGTTTATCGCATATGTCGTAGTACAGTTTTATACGTGGTTCTCCCTTGTTACATGTTGAGTTCTTTTTGGTAATATTACTAATATTTTAAAAGAATGCCGAAAGTAAAATCGACGCCGGATGAGTGGATAAGGGATTTTCCAGAATTAAAATTAGAAAACAACAAAATATTCTGCAGAGCTTGTGTGAAAACCGTAAGCCCACTATTTTTTTTTTTATCTATTTTCTTTTGTTAATCCTGTATATGTACGTTGTTTTAGATTCAAAGTGATAAAAAATATAACGTGACGCAACATCTCAGAACGACTCTTCATGTAGAAAGGAAGAAAATGTTTAAAGTTTCTAAAATTAAACAGCAGACCATACATGAATCTGTTGCATCTACTTCCACAAAAGATGAGCAGTTTTAGTTTAATTTCGATTTATGTAAAATGATGATCCAGTCCAATATACCTTTAAAAAAATTGGAGAAAGGCCCTCTTCAAAAATTCCTTGAAAAACACTGCAATCGACATATTCCGGTTGAAAGTACTCTCCGAAAAAATTATGTAGGCCCAGTGTTTCAGCAAGTTTACAACGAAATTAAACACCGCATTGGAGATAATTATTTATGGTTCGCTGTCGATGAAACAACCGATAGTTGTGGAAGATACGTGGCAAGTTTAATTGTTGGAATCTTAAATGAAAATTTCCCTAGTCGAGGGTATGTAGTAAGTTTGAAAATGTTACATAAAACAAATGGCAATACGATTACTAGATTTGTAAATGACAGTCTTACGTCACTATTTTTGCCAAATGCCGTACCGGCGAATAAAATTTTATTGATGATCTCAGATGCAGCTCGTTATATGTTGAAAGCAGGGAATAATCTAAAAATATTGTACCCCAATTTAATTCACCCTACTTGCATTGCCCACGGTTTAAACAGAGTGGCTGAAGGAATACGTTTGCAGTTTCCTACTGTTAATAAATTAGTGGCAAATGGTAAAAAGATTTTTGTTAAACCCCCACTAAGAGTGCACCATTTTAAGGAAAAATTTGCAAACATACCATTCCCCCAGAGCCGTTTATAACGAGGTGGGGAACATGGTTACAGGCCACATTTTATTATGACAAATATATCAAAGAATTTGAGGAAGTAATTACGGAGTTTAGCGAAGATTCTTCTCAATCGATTAAATATTGCACAAATATCTTGGAAAACAAAGATTTGGGACAAGATCTAGCTTTTCTAAGAAGCAATTATCAATTCGTATGTGAGGTAATAGAAAAGTTAGAAAAACCCAACATGTTGTTGGTAGATGTCATAAACTTAGTGAAAGAATTTCAACAACAAGCAAACGCAGTAAGGGGTGATATTGGTACTAGAGTATCTCAAAAACTTGACGAAGTGTTAAATAAAAATGCAGGTTTCGGTGTTCTTTACGACGTTGCTCGTGTTTTACAAGCCCAGAAGGTGGAAAATTTGGAGTTAGATTCAACATTAGTTGCAAAATTCAAATTTGCGCCAACAACGAGTGTGGATGTTGAACGCACATTCTCCAATTTTAAACACATTTTAAATGATCGGCGAAAAAATTTTACAGTGGACAACTTGGAACATATTACAATCATAAATTGTTTTAAAGAAAACTGAAATACGTGTGTAAAATATAAAGTCTAGGATTATTGTAATAATATTTTATCCAAAGTTCTAAGAAGTGTTCTTCGATTTGTAACATGATTATGTTTTTAATGCTTTTTTGCTTAAAATAAAACTTTTTTAATGAAAGTGTTATGCTTATTTAATGCTTTTTTGCTTAAAATAAAACTTTTTTATTGAAAATGTTGTGCTTATTTAAGCGCTTATTCTTAATTTTTTTGTGCTTTTAAATCCGCTCTCTACTTAATAATTGTTGGATACTACGTTTATAAGATTTAAATTAGAGTATTGCAATATTACAATTGATAACTTTATTTCATCGTCTTTCTCTGTTCCATCTGGTGTTCCGCAAGGTACTCATTGCGGACCCGTTCTATTTCTGTTATTCATAAATGATTTAACGCAGTGTTTACGATATTCAAATTATTTGTTGTACGCGGACGATCTAAAGATCTTTAAAGTCATTCGAGATACACAAGATTTAGAACAAGTACAATTAGATCTTGACATGCTTTTTGAGTGGTGCAGTAACAACTTACTCCCCTTAAATTTAGATAAGTGTTATATTATGTCAACTTTTAACATAAAATCTAACATCAGTTTTAAGTACCAACTGAATAAGCGTTGTATTAAACGTGTGAGTCAGATTAAGGATTTAGGAGTAATTTTCGACTCGTCACTTTCCTTTAAAAGTCATTATTCCTATATATCCAAAAAAGCTTTGAACATGTGGGGGTTTATTTGGCGAAATTGTCATGAGCTTTCACCTTTGGTCCTCAAAAGTTTATATTGCTCCTTAGTTCGGACACACTTAGATTATTGTTCACCTGTTTGGTCACCTTTATATAATGTTGATCGGGTGTTGCTAGAAAATGCTTAAAAAAAATTTTTGAGAGCTCTCGAATTTAAAGTTGGCTTCAAACATATTAAAGGCGACTACAATTGGATTCAACATCATTTTAATATACAACCCCTATATATTCGAAGATATATAACGGATGCTTGTGTTCTGCACGGGATATTAAATGGTCGTATTGACAATCCATCGCTGCTATCAAGACTCTCCTTCTTGTACCCTGCCGTCAACAGCCGCACAACTCGAAGCAAAGATATTTTTAGGGTAGCACCATCTACGTCAAATATAGGTCGTAATCATCCTTTACATAGAATGATGCTAGCTGCAAATGATTATTCGAACAACAGCAACATATCGATATTTGATTCTCCTTTGTCCAAATTTAAATTCAAAATTTTGTTATTTTATAACAGTAGATTTTAGTTCCTTATTTATTGTATGCATATTAGTAACCGCCAAGCCATGAATATTTTTTGTTTTTGAATTTACTTATTAGGGAACACTCTGTTAGAATATGTATTATTTAGTTAATTTAGTTTAATAATTCATTATGTAAATTGGAGATTCCGTTACAAATAAAATAAAAAATAAAATAAATATTACGTTTAAATACGTAAAATAAACATGTTGCATAAACTGAGCATATATCCTAAGAAGAAACTCGGGATATTATCCTTACCAGTTGTCAGTGAATTTTTATATGGTTCGGAGGAGTTTTAAATAATTCTTTCTGATATACACTCTTAGTCCTTATTTGCAGATTATTAAAGCCTTCGTTACTTGCACTACAATTTGTGTAAGAATGGATATACACGTTTTAAAAAAGGTGTCAAAAGCATTGACAATCTGGCGATGTTGAAAGTTATCTATACTTCTATACTTATATAATAAAGCTGAAGCTGTTGTTTATTTGAACACGCTAATCTCAGAAACTACTGGTTCAAATTCAAAAAATCTTTTTGTGTTGGATAGTCCATGTATCATATCTACATATAGGCTATATAAAATCACGCTACGATCATTAGGAGCGAAGTAGCAATGAAAAATTCGGAAAAACGGGAAAATTATTCCTCCTTTGACAGCTTCCGTTGCTTACGCTGCTTAAACGGTTAAAGTTACGTAAAAATCATGTATGACGAAATTGTTCCTCTCTAAAAGTTCTAAAGAAAAGTCCGCGACAGCATATGTCTATCTTTTAAGGTCGAGTCAGTATAACCTTTTTTAAGGTAATGAAATTTGTTCTAAAATAATAATGCATTATGTATAAAATTCTCGCGTCACAATGTTTGTAACCGAACTTCTCCGAAATAGGTAAACCGATTTGTATGAAATTTTTTGTGTCTATTCGGTAGGTCTGACAATAGGGTGTAAACTATTTTTTAAACCCCTAAGTGATAAGGGTGGCCCACCCTAAAAAATTTTTGTCTATTTTTTCGACAAAATTTTTTATTTTTATTTTTTTAAGAATTGGCATCAAAAAATACACATAACCCTAAATTTTCACCTTTCTACCACCAACCCCCATTTTTTAATCGTCTATATAATAAAAATCAATTGCTGTTCCTGTTAGTCTCGCTAAGACTCAAAAACGGCTTGACCGATTTGAGGAATTTTTTATATTACGGAGATGGTTTATAAATAAAAAAAATAAGGAAAACTTAAAAGAACAGTTAAAAAATAAAAAAATTCTAAAAATTTTGTTTGGGAATCGCCACTTCGAATTAATTTCAATAGTTGGCGTTTCTGACGGACCTGTCGTCTAACTGACGTGTCATACAAAACTAATTCTTCCGTGCAATTGTGAAAAGTATATTGCATTTCAAATCGTTCTTTGTTTTTCGTAAAAAAAAACGTCGTTTATTTTAATAAAAGTCTTGGTTAAAGTGAATTTAATTACACATTGCGAAAGTTTCTTATTAATTTTGATCTGCCATTCTATTTACCTATATTCACTTTGTTGGTTTCGACAAAACCTCAAACTTTACCGTTATTCGAGGATTTAATTTGAAGTTTTCAATATTTTAAAATTCTCAAGACAAAATTTACAGATTTGATTGACTGTGAAAATAATTCTGTGTCGTTTTATGAAGTTCATTAAAATGCCGAGAAGACGACAACCTCACATAGGTCCACGAAGTCAATCAAATGTGCGACGAACTACCTCAGGTGCAAACCGCAATGATTTATTTCATGGGTAATTCGGATATGGAAGTTGATCAGTGTTGTGCTCATAATCAACATAATCAAACATCGAAGCGAGACATTGAGTGGTATGAATAAAACTGAGCAGATACTCATATTCGAAGTACGAAGTACCTACTTCATTATTACTCTTATATACCTGAGCATCTACTCTATGTACTGAGTACCTACTGGGAAACATTGTATCTCCCCGAACACAAACTGAACATCTACGCGTTTTGTGAGCATTTAATCTAGAAATGAGCATCGGCGTGGCAAATAACTGACCTGTCTGTAAAGTAGCTTAGAAAACCAGTAGGATCGTTGTAATAGTGAATTTTATTTAAACATGGTGACGTTCATGAATGTGGAACGTCGTCAAAAGGTGCATTCAGTTTGAAAAACACATTAGGAGCAGGAATATCGAAAACTTTTCATGTAATTAACTTTTATTTATTCATAAATTGTGCAGTGCGTTTTTTCTAACACTGGCCATAGAGATTCCCATCTCAAGGTGTCTACCCCATACTAACTTATATTTTGGTGACTCGATTTTTGCCTTGATGGTTGAACACTGTCACTGTTGTCCTTTTTTGTTGTATCGAGATGCTACTTGAGCATCAACTGTTACTTACTGAAGTATTAGTATCATCTAGAAAAACTAGAAATATTTTGATTTGATATTCGAGTAGATACTTCGTATTTCGAGTAGCATCTACTGAGTTTTATTTATATCAACCATTGTCAAAAAATTGATCGAACGTTGTTTCGACAGAACTTCCTTCGCACCAAAAGTATAATGAAACATATTCAGCATTTTCGAGTTGAGTCTTTTCTTCACACAATTTTGTGATGACCTAATCAACATTTACTATCAACACGTCGATATACCACCTTGGATTGGTGCAGTGTAATACTAAAAATAACTGTATTGTATTCCCAAAATTATCTGCGAAAATCGAGTGAGCCATTCCATCAATTTTTTGGGGGGAATAAATAAATATTCTTAACAATTTACCATGCTTACAATAACTTTAAAACGTCTGCAAGATCTCAAAGTATTCATTTTTGCAACTCTTGAGTTATTCACTAAAATAAATTGACTGATCCATATATTTTTTTGAGTCACTGTAAAAGCAAATCTAAAAAATATGAATGCAGTGATAAATTACGAAAATATACTGATGATATTTTCCACATTTTAGATAGGATATATTCGGCAAAATCTTGAGATGACGTCTTCAAGTTTTTGGGCTTGATAAACAGATATATTTTGATTGAAAACCTACCATGTCAAACAGTAACTTCAAAACGTCTGCAATATTTCAAAATTCAGTTTTGCAATTCTTGATTCAATCAATAAAATAAACTGACTCAGTGATTAATTTTTTTGAGACACCCCCTATAAGCAAAATTAAAAAATATGAATGGAATGATAAATCACAAGTATAGTCTCATCCTATTTTGGACATTTTAGATAGGATTCATTTGGCAAAATTTTGGGCTGACGTCATCAATTTTTTGGAGGGGATAAGTAAATATATTTTGAATAAAAATTTATTATGCTTATCATATGTTTAAAACATCTGCAAGATTTCAAAGCATTCGATTTTGCAGATTCAAAATTAAATTGTAGGTGAAACGGAGTTCACGGGGTCAGCTAGTCTATTATACAGGGTTAGTATTATAATAACGAGACCCAGACCAAATTTCAATGCAACACAAAATACATGTCTCATACATATACAGATCACTTTAAAGCTATTATTGAGTGATGCCTTTGTGGAGGTCGAAGAGGGTCGGTATTTTTTTCAAATCGTTGGATTGCGCTCATTTACTGTAAAAAAAGTTTTGAAAATCATATTATGAAATTCGCGCCCGACCCGATTTGTCGCGAAATGTTCCGTCGCACTGTCGAAGTTCGGTGATCGCGTCTTAGGATTAACCATGAAAAATTTAAATGTCAAAGTGAAATTAGAAATTATTCTCAGAAATCACGAACAACTCAAACTGAATTATTTTATCCAGTGTGATGATTACTGTAGGACAAATTAAACGGAATAAATGCACAAATTGATCTATTCATTCGTCATAGTCCGCGACCCCGTCAAACGAGGCATCTGGAACTACACTCAGGCCGTATCCAAAAAGTCCGAGATGAAGACTTCGAGCAGCTGGTCTTCCTCAAAACCCCATCGGCAGCATCGTGACATGTCCTGGGAGCCCATCAAGCTAGGAGTGTACTCGCGCTGCCTCACTCAATAATCACTGAACGACTCAAATTGAATTATTTTATCCAATATGACGATTATTGTAGATCAATTTAAACGGAATAAATGCACAAACTGCACAAAATATTTTATCCCTATGTAATTATTGTACGCAAGAGAATTATAAGTCTCAACTGTAGCGAAAGTCAAATTTTATATTTCAAAGGCGATAAGAACGATAAAGGACTTAGTTGGTTGTAGACCCAAAGACATCTGCAGCCTGAGGGAGCGATCTTACAGGCAAAGCAGCAGCGATCTGCCCCAGGAAGTTAATAGCAGCGATCTGGAGGTGTTCGGGAAGCGATATTCAGCGTCTTCTTCGACTTGGATTTTAGAAAATCGACCAATTCCAATATGGCGACGCAAAAAAAGTAACGATACGAACTCTGATAAAACCACACACGCTCTCCCTCGAAGTTAGCAGGTTTAATAACGATAGTTGGTTGAGTAATACAACCCTAAACGATAGAACGATAGCGGTATTCGGAACGATAATTTCCACACAACAGGACTTCACTCTTCGGATCACCTTGACCGAATCCTTCCAATTAATAAGGATAGTGAGTTGAGTAATACAACCCTAAACGATACAAAAAAAAACGATAGAACGATAGCGGTATTCAGCACTATAATTTCAGGACACTTCCTGATGCTCACAACCCGACTTGATCCTTCGGATCACCTCGACCGAATCCCTTCAAAATGGAAGACTTCACTAATCCTCCCCCTCTTAGGGAAACTTTTGACCCGGTCATGAGGGATCTTAATAAATCTGTATTTAAAGTTGACTTTTAATTTGGGCCGTACGCGCCTGTCTTTGATTGACATCAAGATGGCGCGTTGTTTATATTTGGAAGTCGTACCAATAATTTAGGTTCGCGTAGGCTATCTATTATCGAACTTGGTGAGATGTTATTTGTTTGAGTCGCAAAAGAAGTAAAGTGGAGAGAAGAAACGAGAAGAGAAAGTGATGGGAAAGTAAGAATGGAAACGTAGAAGCAGGGTTGCTCTGTTGTTTGGGGTATCGACAAAGAGTAGAAAGGAAGGGAAGACCATCCCCAAAACAGTACAACGGTACTCTGATGAATAGAAGAGAGAAGGCGAGAGGAAATATAAAAGTGTAGAGAAAGAGGTTTGAGTGCTACGGCACCCAGGGATGCAGAGATACACCCCGCTAAAATTTGACGGTAAAAGACGTAGCTCCAGCCGCACAATATCGGCTGGCGTCAAAAAAAATCAAACGGAAACAAAGAAATCGAAAAGAAAAGAAAATTAAAACTTGAAAATCTTGAACAAAGCGAAAATATGGAACCAGTTATAACTAATTTGAGTACCTCAACACTATACATTAAAATTTCTCTACAATGTAACACGGGCTAGGCGCAGTAATCTTACGCGCACTAGGCTCCAGAAGGCATCATGCAGATTTCACGTCATCATTGACTCTCTCGTTAGAACAGAATATACCATATATTTTTTTAAGCTCTTTAGTATTGTTATTTGTTTTTTATGATGTTCAAGATCGATGTTAAGCACCCAAGCATTTGTGTGGCTCCTTAGAATACGCCCCACACACCGGCAAGTAAAAGTAGCATGCTACAAGTTGTCAGTGAATTTTTATACTGGTTCGGAGGAGTTTTAAATAATTCTTTTTGAGATACACTCTAAATTTTTTTAAGACCTTATTTGCAGGTTATTAGAGCCTTCATTACTTGCACTACAATTTGTATAACACGTTTTAAAAAAGGTGTCAAAAGTATTGACATTAGGAGTAAATCGTGCAAAACCGGGTAGTCGGATCAAACCGGGTACCGTTCATACAGCCCCTACAACTCATGCCACCCAGCGATGGGTATCCAACACGTTTTCTTCACAAGCGATAATGTGGTTAGGACTTACTAGTCAATAGGCATGCATCCATGCTTGTTTGATACTAGCGATCGTTGAAAGTTTTCAGTGCAAAACTTTTGATGTTTCATGTGATTTTAATACTCTTGTGACGTGCATTTAAGGGAGCTCTAATTTCTGGTAAGTGAATTACGTTGTTTCATAGTTATTGATGTTTTATTTAAACTCTTAATATAATCTCTAACATTTGTATATGATGAGTGATATCATGTTTCATTTCACACGTGATGAAGAGGTAAAACCGGGTACTTATCAGCGGATAGAACCGGGTATCCGATGTTACCCAATCATTAATTTTTTAATATAGATACAACCTAGTACATAATGTCGTTTTTAAGCAGCAATTTGTTTTTCGGTTATATATATCTATTTTTATCTTGTATTTCAGAACCAAAACATGCCAAAAAATTATCAACGGAAAACGCAAAGACAGTCATGGGCGCAGGCTAGCATGTTAGGGGCAATAAATGCAGTATTGTCTGGCACAATGGGTTACTTAAAAGCTTCGAAATCGTATAATGTACCACAAAGTACTCTAGAAGATCGAGTAAAGAAAGCTCGGCAAGAAGCAAGTTTGGAAGAAGCTAGCAAAAAAGGAATGGGCCGATATAAAACAGTATTTTCAGATGAGCAAGAAAATGAGTTGGTGGAATATATTTTGTTGTTAGAAAGCAGACTCTTTGGCTTAACTTTCAAGGAACTTTAAAGTTTAGCTTATGAATTAGCTGTTCAAAACAACATTCAACATCCATTCAATAATGAAACAAAACTCGCTGGAAAAGACTGGCTTTATGGATTATTACAGAGACATAAAAGACTTTCTTTAAGAAGTCCAGAAAAAACATCTATTGCTAGGTTACTATGTACAACTCCTCCGCCTGAGGCTTCCACTTCTAAGAATATTACACCTTCAACTTCTAAAATTAGTTCATTAAATTCGTCATTCACCGTTTCACCTACAACTCTCAAGCCACCCCCTCATTCAGAAAGGAATGAACGAAAAACGAACGACAGGCCCGAAGGTAAAACAGTTGTTCTCACTTCTACGCCTTATGAAGTAGACTTGGAAAATGCTATTGCTCCACAAGAAGCACGCAGGAAAAAAATTGGATCCAAAAAAAAAGAAAACTTTTTAGCAACCCTATTCTTCCTAAAAAAGTACAAATGGAAAAAAAAAGCATAAGATGATCATAGCCGTTAAACGATCTAGACGCGATCATAAAGAATCTTCTTCCTCCCAAGAAGATTCTGAAAGTGATGCAGAATGCATATATTGCAATGATATGTATTCAAACTCACAAGAAAAAGAGGGATGGATACAGTGCACGAAGTGTCGCAACTGGGCTCATGAGCTTGTTGCAATGTTACAGAAGAGGATGACGATTTTGTGTGCGATATTTGCTCTCAGAGAGCTCAGATTATTTCTGTTTACGATAACGTCTGCAAAATTTCAAAACCTTCGGGTTTGCAGATTCAAAATTAAATTGCTAAATGTTGTAATACAATTATGATTTTTTTCCAAAAATCTGGTTTCCTTGGATAAAAACTCAAGGCGGATTCATAAATCAAACGTGTAGGACTATGTTATTTTACACAAATCAAAACCCATTTACAATGAACTATTTTGAGGTGACAAACTTTGGTTAGCGTTTTACCATCCAAAGGGTGTTTTTGAAAGATATGTAAAAAAATCTGATAAATCTGACCACCTCGGAAAACCATATAAAACTTTTTTCATTGTAGAAATCTCACAAAAAAAATTATCCCCGTCCAAACTTTTTCTATGCCATTGACAAAATAGGTGTAAGATGTACATAATTAATTGTTTCTTAGCAATTGGCTAAGGTTCACTTTGTTTTGTACGCGATAGCCCCAAAATTTTCTACACAACTAACCTAAATCAACTAGCAAAGAAAAATTCTGCTAGACGAAACGTTGTTTTCAAAAGGTAAAAAGGGTAAGGTAACGTTAATGGTTTTTGTTGAAATTTTAATCATTTCTTCCATGACTGTCCCCATATCTGATCTGGTAATATGAACGAAATGGCTCAACTAAATGATAAAACTTTGGTGGTGCATTGGTAAATTTTTTTTGCTTCTGCTTGGAAGTGAAGTACTTACCGCATCCAAGAAACGTCACCTCATCAAAACACAATTTATTGAGATTTATTATATTTTAGTTGTATCAAATTTGTCATACATAAACAGATTACATATTACACATGTAAAACAAGCCTGAGATTCTTTACACCTTGACTAATTATGTAAAAAAACAAACAGCATAATAACGCTTGCTACGTACATATGTTTATCTCGATTTACAATATTTGGTCATACATAAGTAAATTACATACTCAGTGGAGATAAAACATTTCATATAAATGTTTTGTGTTATTAATACGTAGTTTAAAATAGGTAGTACGTGCCGAAAGTAACAATTGGTTAGCACAATATGCCGATACCTTTGGTACATTTACAGGATGGTAAAGTTAAAGGTAAAATATCTACAGACTTCTTAGGTGGAAAATATTATAGTTTTATGGGTATTCCATATGCAAAAGCACCAGTCAGAAATTTAAGATTTAAGGTAAGCATTTTTTTTCTGGTATTAAGTAATCAACACTTGTTAAATTTAAGCATTTAATGAAACTAAATTGTGTGTAAATGATGCTTAATTTTATTTGCAATATTTTTGAGTTTGTTTGCAAAATTGTCTTTAGATGAACCTATAAAAGCGAAAAGCGACAGTAAATTGAAATTTTCAACAAGTAGTATTTTAAAATTTTAGCGACAAGTCGAAAAAAAGAGCAAAGCCTAAAAATTTGTTTAGCGATTAAAAAAAAAAAATACAGCGTCAAAGATTTAGCGCCAATAAAACAGTTCAAGTTGTGGAATATCACAGTAGGTTAAATTTAATTGCTTAAAACAAAATAAAAAAATGTGAGACTACTAAGATAAACCTTAAGGGAAAATATTGTATAGGCTCCTGTGCCAGTAGAGCCCTGGGAAGGAATTAGGGATGCAACAAGGGAGGGTCCAGAATGTCCGTCATACCATTCACCATTCGGCTATTACATAGGTTCTGAAGACAATTGTTTAAATTTAAATGTTTATACACGTCAGGTAAAGTTATTTATAAGTGAAAATAGGTATATCCTTAACAATTTCTTTTAGTTATCATGCAACTCCGCAACCATGAAACCTGTTATGGTATGGATTCATGGAGGTGCTTTTCTACGTGGTTCAAACAGAACTGATGCGTACAGTCCCGATTATTTAATCACTGAAGATATTGTCCTTGTATGCATAAATTATCGTTTAGGAGTTCTAGGCAAATTCATTTATATTAAATGTTTGTTAATGGTAATTATTCACGTTTATTCAGGTTTTCTCAGTTTGGAAGATTCGTCCCTCGAAGTTCCCGGAAATGCTGGTTTAAAAGATATGGTACTTGCACTACAATGGGTTCAAAGGAATATCCAACAATTCTGTGGTGATCCCAACAATGTCACAATTTTTGGTGAAAGCGCAGGATCTGCTTCTGTTCATTATCTGTTACTGAGTCCACTATCTAAGGGTTTGTTTCATAAAGCAATAGCTCAAAGTGGATGTTCCTTGAACAGCTGGGCTAGAGGTTGTAGTAACGGAATAATAATAGCGAGGAATCTTGGATACGAGGACACAGACGAAAGAAATATACTAGAATATTTAAAAAGTGTACCTGCACGTAAAATCGTAGAAGCCCAAGAGATAACAGGGGATGTTAGTAGTTTATCACTATGTTCAGAATATTTAATTAGTAATTAATTTTTCAGTCTTTTAATGTAGGCATCATAAGACCCTTTGGACCAGTTGTGGAAAAATATCGCTCAAAGGGCGCATTTCTATGTGAAGATCCCATTAACATTGTTAAATCCGGGAAATTTCATCACGTACCTTTGGTTATGGGATACACTTCTAGAGAAGGAATGCTTTTCGTATTTCTAGACGAGTTAAAACATGGAAGACGAAGAACAAATTTCGAAGAAGAAATTTTCTATGATCGCAAACTACACATGAATTCAACCGCGTTTGAGAAATGTGTCCTAGAAATTAAGAAATTTTATAACCAGGAAGAAAATGAACCCGAAGAAGATATCGAAAAATTGGATTTAGTAAGTTGTTACCTTAATATTTATATTGTTAGATCCAAAAAAAATCCGATTTTAGTTGAAAACCGACAACTTGTTTCTTTATGGCATCCACAAATGTGTTTCTTACCAGAAACTGGTCAGTCAGGCTCCAATTTATTTTTATAGAATGACGTTAGAAACGACAAACAATCACGCAAAGGAAATTTCTACTACGAAACACATTTACATCCTTGTGGTTTTATACTTCATAATAAGCAAATTAGGAGATGGCTTTATAAAATCCACGCTTTTAAAGTTTGCCAAATTAATACCACAAAATAAGCGGACTGGAACGTGTCATAGTGATGATCTCTACTACCTATTCCGAACATTCATGAATGAAAAATTTGATGATGGAGATGAGAATAATACTTATATAATGAGATTTGTTAGACTTTGGGCAAATTTTGCTCGAACAGGTGACCCAACTCCAGACAAAGACGATCCACTTATTAATATTAAATGGACACCAGTAAACAGAAATGAAAATTGTTTGTTGAATATTGACAAAGAACTGAAAATGTTAGTAGATCCAGATTTAGAAAGGGTAAAGTTTTGGGAAAATCTTTTTGAAGAGTAGGTGGTTAAAATGAGCCTTATTAAGCTGGGAATAATTCGTTTGTTCGTTTTCCATATAAGTAATACATATATATTTTAAAATGTATAATTAGGCACTTGTTTCACACGATTTCATTTGTGCTAGTATTTTTAATTTACGAATTTTGAGAAAATGTTGTCTTAGTTTAACCCGTTTTATTACTACCCATGTTAACGTTGTGGAGCTTATCAAACATAAATTCTTGAACTATTTATATTTATATTTTGTGAAACACCGTATGTGACAATATCATAAATTAATTCTAGTTAGTCGACTTTAATTATTTAAGGTCTGTTAGTGTGTAAGAAGGAGAAAGTTGTCTGTAAGCCATTTTTAGTGTAAATTCAAGTATTGTTTATTGTGTCAAATGCAAATAGAGGGAAAAAATTGTTATTCTCAAGAATTTTGTGCTACATCTAAGGTTATTATAACAGAAGTACAAAAAAATTAAAATGCAAACAAGTTTTACTACGCTCTGAATTTTCCATTTCCAGGAAAAAAGAACTGAGTAATGAAATGAAAGCCAAAATATTTAACAGAGTGTCTTGAAAACAATCGATCTAGTAGACGGAAACGAGAGACGTACTCTAGGAGTCGAGAAAACATAAAATTAACCGTCGTCCGATGGACTCGATTACGATATTTACTTAGCTTACACACAGACTAAAGTGTTAAATGTTTAACAATGTCTTATAGCCGAACTAACCTAGTACTAGTAACGGGTGTAACGGGCTACCTTCTTTCCTAGATTTGTTTACATAGTTTGTCACAAATGCAGCTAATATGTATAAGCGTGTATAACCTTGGACACTTTGGTTGTTTATTGCTAACATAAATTAGTATTTATTCAGCATAGATAAAACATTCGCTGCAAAAACATTGTGTTATCGACAGATAACGCTCAGAAAGTGACAAACTGTTAGGTAATATGACTATACCTCTCGTAACTCTACAAGATGGTAAGCTTAAAGGCCAAATATCTACGGACTTTTTAGGAGGAAAATATTATAGTTTTCTGGGTATACCGTATGCAAAGGCACCAATCAAGAATTTACGATTCAAGGTAAGCAGTTTTTTGTTGTTGTCAATCAACTCTTTGTAATTTGAACTCTCCGTTTCAACCTTTGTTGAAGTTCTGGATCTTAAAGTGTTTACAAAATTCGAGTTATAGCGGTTTACGTTATTAAAAATAATATAATGTACGAACACAAATATACAGGGTCGCTAAAATGTATGGAAACGGTTAAATATCTTGAGAACCAATTGTAAAAATCAAGTGAAATTAGGTATAGGGGTACAAGAAGTTGTACTCTAATTATTCGTCAAAAAAAAAAATCCATTTCTTTTCGTGATGCAAGGCCAACTTGACTTTTTTTAATTTTCACTACCATATAATTAATGCATTTTTAAATAGAGCTTTTTACTTAATTTATTGATATAGCACAATATTTTCTTACTGAGTGAAATGGCAAAATAAATTATTTTAAATAAGAATAAATGAAAGAAAGAAAGATGACATATCTTTCAAAATAATTTTAATTTGACATGAGTGAAACTAAGCATATCGAATTATTAATGATTATTATCGGTTACGGTGACGAAGTTTTGCTCAAATAGGACCACTTTTCAATGAAATTCATCCTGAGCGAGAACCCATTTCTAAGTAGACGGTTTCAAAAATCCTACGAAGAGCTTGTTGTGTATAGGCAACCAATTACACATTTGCATAAAATATGTTTAGTGTTTGAATTTTAGCTTAATTATTATTTATTAAAACAGATAAATAAAAATTATACATTAATCAAAAATATAAGAAGGCGGTGATTTCTAATTTTGATTGTAATGGATAAAATAATAATAATAATAATATTAGGAATATTATTTTCTCCCACTGGCAGCACTGCGGCTTTGGAAGGAAAGACGTAAGAAAATACAATAAGACTTCCCGGTACAACTGTGAATGTTAATAGATTAATATTTATGGACAAGGAATTTTCTACAAAATTGTGTGATTAATAATAAGGTTTAATATATGTAAAAGCAGTAATGGAAGAATCAGGAGAACAATATATTAATACTGTGATATATCATTTGAATATCAAAAATGCAAAGTTGTACAGACTTATTCAAACCTACCTATATAAATAAATATCTTAACAAGGGATCCAACAATATATGTATAGTAAATCACTTATCATTGTGGGAAAACTTTAATGCAAACGTAAGAGTTGTGATTAGCACTATGGTGACCGAATTTGAATCAAAATTTTCGCGCTGAAATTAATTAACAGCGGCTCGAAATCACATTTGAATAATTTGAATTTGAAAGAAAAAAAATTGAAAGCATAAATCGTTAAACATAGGCAACCAGGTGCACGGTAACGCTTGTTGGATAGTTGGACAGTTAGTAGCGCTAGGGGATTTTAGTTAGAAGATTGGTTAGTAGACAGAGGGCGGCATGGCGACGCGTCAGTCTGAATGTGTTTTTGTGAAGCTAGTTTAAATTAGTTAGTTTGGTAGCTGATAAAAAGGGAAGAAGCCTTTGTTTAACGAAAATTAATCGTCACGATGACGACACAGTTTTCCCCCAACACGTGTAGCTAATCCTTGCGACCTTTTAAACGAAAAAGTGCAGACTTCCGTTCAACGCGGACCATGTGATCTAGATTTGTTTTGTTGCTTGTAAATTCACCAATCAAGTTAGTTTTTTAATCGTCAGCTAGTGCTAACACAATTTAAAAATCAGGATTATTTAAATAAACCACTTACTAGAAGATTTCATGAAATCAGGATAATATTTCTTTGTTTAACAAATTATACATAAGTTTCTGGATGCATATACGTAAGTGTTACATTATAACACTTCTTAATTCTTCACACAAAATTGCTAATAGTTCATTTACGGCAGTTACTCTAACTAATTCATACCACGAACTGACGGGGAGTTAAAATAATTTCTTCCCTTAGGCGGTTATCATCGTTATCATGATTACATCACCGAGGCATGTTCTCGCAACGTTAAAGATTGATTGTATCAGCGGGGGCATGCCCTCGCAACGTTAGAGATTGATAACATCATCGAGGCGTTTCCTCGCAACTTTAAAAATTTACATCACCGAGACGCTTTTTCCTCGCAACGATGACTGGAAATTTTTGTGTTTATTTATTCTGTGTTTTGTTGGGGTAACCAGTTCGCGGTATACTAAACTCTCAAAGTAAATTGTTTTTAAGTAACCAATCACTTGGCATATGACATAATTTAACATAATGTAAACTCTTTGTTTGAATCGTTGATAAAGTGTGGCTAATATTAATCGCACGTAAATTTTGTTAACTTTGCAAATTTTTACCTCATACAATATTTCTCTATTTCACAATTTTAACTTCAGTCATTTTTTTGATGTATAATTTTTAATTGAACGCAAATTTCATGCTCTACAATTTTAACCTCACATAATATTTTTATTTTGCACAAATTTATTTCACACCAGATCTTTTGTTTTGTAAATCTTTGCTAGTTTTGTTTTGTAAATATTTTGTTGATGCATGTTTCCATCGTATAAATCATTTGATGTCCAATTTTAATCTCAATTCTTTGTTGTTTAAAATTTCACAAGGTTGTATGGTGAATTCAAATGTTGTTTATTGTGCTTTGAAACTTTGACACTTGTTCCGTTGTTGATAATAATATCAGGGTTATAAGAAATTGAACATTTAAAATGGAGTTGAGGCTAAATAACACAGAAAACGTGGCAGAAGCGAAGTGCGGTTCCTAATCGAGCTGGCGAGATTTATCGCGTCACCTGCACAAAGGGTACAGGTTTGGATAGATTCGAGGGCGGCCGCCGATGTTCCAACGCTCTCGGCTTCTGTCCTTAGCCGAGATCCAACTGCGGGTCTGCGACCGTAACGGCCTATTTTCGGACGGCATGTTCGTCATGTAATGTGTTGTGCGGGTAGGCTTGCGATAGATAGAATCACTGTCGTGGGGGGAGAACAGCCTCGACCGGTAGCCCCAAATTCCGCTTGTGCTAAAACGCCCCGGGAGTATTTTTGTCGTGCTCCTGTTAACTGCTGTAACTTTAAATTTGACGCCACACGCCCGTAGTAGCTTGTGCATTTGCATCCAGTTACTTTAATTCAGATTTTGCTTTGTTTCTATTAAATTTGTTATACTTTTATTCAAATATTTGCACTGATTCAAAACATAAACGTAAGGTTTTGTACTTGTTTGGTTTTCATATGTCTATCAATTCGCGGTTGTCTTTTCTATCATATTTTTAAGGTGTTTCATCTGAAATTTACTATGTCCGTGAATATACGATAGGGGTTTTTTGGGGCTGAGGAGTGAATGCTCGCAGCTTTTTTCCTCCTGAGAGGGGGTGCGAATTGTATCCCCCTCCCAAAAATTTTGTCTATGATTTCTTGCGCTCCTGACTCACACGCAGTGTATGCTCACTTGCAATAAAGAACATCTTCTCACCACTTAAAAAAAACACACACAACGTAGGTTTCCATTTTGTTAGACGACCACAGCAAAGGCCAAATTTTGAATTTTTGAATTTTTCGCGGGTCTTTCAAACTTTTCCAAGGTCAATTTAAGGCGGGAAGTTTGGGTTACCACAGCACTGGTACTAGAAACTTCAGTTTTGTTGAAACTGTTAAAATATTAAATTTTCATGTAATTTAGGTGAGAATTCTTTAAACCCTATTTTTTGCAATGGATTTTAATTCTTTTAAACTTAGTTTATTCAGTACAGACTCATTACTCGACTGTAGTGGTAAAAAATATTTGTTCATCAAAGACCATTCATGAGTTAAATAGGACCTCGCGGACGGGATATCTTTATTAATTTGTTCAATTATTTTATTATTATTATTATACAAATATCGAGCAGAGGTAAAAAGCTATTATGCTCATCCGAAGGAACAAAATACAGCAGCTATGTGGTTACTGCTTGTCTCCAAGAGAAGATTGTTCTTGCTACGAGCATATCAAGATGATTTTTTAATCTGGTTCTAGAAACTAGCACACTATTGGAATTTAAACTTTCTAGATCAAGGCTATTCGAAATTTTAAACACACGACTGGTTAGAAATTGCTGTCGCCATTTCGTTTTATATTTTTCCTGAAAAAGCTTTTTTGAGTGACCACGAAGGCGGGATACACAACAAAGATGGTGGAAAGGTCTACACTAAGCTTATGATTGAGGATTTTAAAAGTATAGACGAGATCGATAAATATGCGACGTGATGTTAAAGTTGGAAGTTTTAATATGGCTAGTCTATCATAATTTTCATTTGTCAAATTTACAACAGTTTTAGAATAGTGAAGCTGCACTTTTTCAATTAGTTGTTTGTCCCTTATTAGTGTGGGAAACCAAATAACACTAGCATATTCTGATATTCCGATGCTTCAGAGCAGCTATGTGAACGATAGAGTGGATTCCAGTTAAAACCAATCAAGTCTGAAGTTAATCGATCATAATTTATTTCCGAATATTCTTTTGTGTCATATTTCTTAACGGAAGGTAGATGATATTGTACGAATATCTCTAAAACACAATGATCTGATTAGGTGCACAATGATTAAATTCACCAAGAAGATTAGGATCGTTTGATAAAACCAAAGTGAAGATGTCTGACTAGCACGGAAACAAGTGGGTGAAGCAACCGATTGTGAAAGATTGGTTTCCAGAAGCATGTCTACAAATAAAAGGACAAAATTATTATTATCTCATAACTGCATGTTTGGCTATGAAATTTTAGGAAAATTAAAATCTCCAAATATTAATATATTAAGATGAATATTACTGAGAAACTTGATTTCATCAAAAAGATTGATTATCTACAATGGAACTATCAGGTGGTCGATAGACGCAGAACATAGCAAAGCTATAAGAACAATACCTGACCTCAACACTAACCAGCCCAATTTTGCCAAAATTTTTGCTAGAACTTTTTACGGCGAACTGTTTAAAAACCGATATTGTAGTCATTTTAAGACCTATTAGAGAGTTTGGAATAACAGGTTATAACCACGATTCGCTTAATAAAATATAGTCAGAATTCTGTTGTTGAACATATAGAGTGTTGTAAAGTAAAGTAGGTTATTATTGCATTATAAATTCATTTCACCATAGTTTTGTTAGCTATATTAAATTAGCTTGCTTGTCCAAATGTTTTGTAATCGCTGACTCCTCTGTATTTTGTAAGAATATGGTCAGTTGCCCTCGTTACGAGGAAGTGATAAATAGAGGAGTCAACGAAGAGACAAGGGGGAGAATGTGTGTAAGGTAGAGAAGAAGTTGCCATGTGATCATGGCCATGTAAAGTTGTCATGTAAGTTTTGTTATGTGGGCAGTGAAATAAACGGGAAATCGAAATATATGTGTCTAAGTCACAACCCCTTCACAAAGAATTCAACGTAGCAAAAAAAGAGGCAATATTTGTATACCTAATGGAAAACTGTGCAACCTTGTCAGGTCCTGAAGCACAGGGACCTGACAAGGTTGCACAGTGATAAAATTTCGCCGATTGAGGGACAGCGAATCGGCCGCTGGTCTTATCACCACCAAAAAATGCTACGATAATAATTTAAAGCGAGCACGTGGAGAAACAAAATGAAAAGATCTCACCAAGTCAACAGCCAGATATCGTTAGAACTATTGTGTAAGACCGACGTCACCACACCCACAAATACACCACTTTTCGAAAATTTCTCACGGATAAAGCCAGAGAAAACAGCAAAAACCCACAGCACGATACGAACAGCGTGACTGATAAAACTTTTATTTTTTGTTCCTGTACTATAAAGATTGATACTGTATTTATTTAAAACAACTCTTCTTAAGTTTTTAGGTGGATTGTGTTTGTCTTTAATTGCTTATTTTATGATTTTTAAAAATGCATTAGCTACTTCTAATCCTGATTTAGTTTTTAAAGGTTCTACCCATACAAATTTAGAAAATGTGTTTTCAACAACTAGAATATAGATAAATCCCTTGTTAATTCTTTTAAATTTATTAAAATCATTCGTTTTTACTTTGGGGTTTTTGTTCTTAAAGTATAGCTTGGATCTTCTGATTTTCCTTTCGGTTTATAAAAAACATAAATATCTATTTGGCAAGTATCTTCAATACCTCTGTAGTGAAAATGTCGTGTTTCATAGTTTTTCCTAGCAAGTTTGAATAATTCAGTAATTAAAATATCTTTAGGTGATTTAGAAATATTATTTTCACCGATTGACAATTTCTGCAAGTTGATGTTCTTGTCCATCGTTTATATTTTACAACAAATTCTGGTTCTCCAGTGGATTTAGTTTTCTTTTTGCATATTTTACATCTGGAATTGCCAGACTTTATGGACGCTCATGAGGACTTTGTCCAAATTTAAACAAATTCGCTTCGCTCATGAGGGCTTCACCCGAATTTTAAGAAAGTTTTCATGTTTTTTCATTTTCTCATAAGGAAATTTTGTTACTAAAATAAAATTTTCATTTAAATTGATTACTATATTGCTTTCCATTTATATATCTTTATTTATATAAACAATTAAAACTCATCAACGCTTCGTGAGCCAAAGGCTAACTCGGTGAACTTCGCCTTTGGCGCTAGGCTGATTTTATCAGACTTTTTTATACAGAAACGTTAACTAGCATATAAAAAAATATATTTGAAAATTGATGTTGGAATTGTCAAAAGTATCTGCCTTGAATTAAAATTGTTGATGAAAGTATGTATGTATAAAACGGAAAAAGTAATCAAGCTAATTTATTTTTATTTCCTAAGGGTAAGCCAAGGAATGATTACTTTCATGTTTTATTGACGGTTTATGACCGTTAGAGTATGAAAAAATAGGTCTCCCACTAGGCGCGGTCGTCACCGTCTAAAAATCGGGAATATTCCACAAGTGCCAAGTACATTAGGACGCCGGTACCTGGTTCAAATTTTATATACCTTTAAATGAAGTAAAATTTCGGCCTTTCAGACCTCGGTCTAAATTTTCTCATGCTAGTTCAGCAGTACCCATCGTCTCCTGATCACGGAACTCTGAGATTTTTTCAAATTATGTATTTTGAAAACATGACAAGGGATTCTCAAAATTCTTTCAAACTGGTTCAAAAACCATCAGGCACAGGCTGTCGACGAGATTCATTCAAACTACTAAAAAACAGAATGAAAGGGGTCCCGAGATTCTTTCAAACCACTTCAAAAACAAAACAGGAAAGATCCTCGAGATTCTTTCAAAGTACTTCAAAAACCAAACACAAGTGGCCCCGAGGTTTTTTTAAACTACTTCACAAACCAGACAAGGAATACCCAAGATTCAAACTATTTCAAAAACAAAACAAAAGGGACCACGAGATTCTTCAAACTACTTCGAAAACAAGGGATCTCCGAGATTCTTTCAAACTACTTCAAAAACAAAACGCAGTAGGTTCGCGAGATCCTTTAAAATTACTTCTAAAACGTGACAAGGGATCCCGGAGATTCTTTTAAACTACTTAAAAATAAAACAAAAGGGGTTCTGAGATTCTTGCAAACTACTTTAAAAACCAGATGCAAATGATCTCTGAGATCATTTCAAACTACAAAAATAAAACACAAATGATTCAGGAATTTCTTCAAACTACTTCAAAAACCTGATACAAGGGGTCCCCGAGATTTTTCCAAATTACTTTAAAAACAAGACAAACGGGGTTCCCAAGAGTCTTTAAAATTACTTCTAAAACATGACAAGGGATCCCGGAGATTCTTTTAAACTACTTCATAAACAAAACAAAAAAGATCTTCGAGATTCTTTCAAACTACTTCAGAAACCAAACACAAGTTTACCGAGATTCTTTTAAACTACTTCACAAACCAGGCAAGAAATACCCAAAATTCGTTCAAACAATTTCAAAAACAAAACAAAAGGGACCCCGAGATCCTTCAAACTACTTCGAAAACCAGATACAAGGGATCTCCAAGATTCTTTCAAACTACTTCAAAAACAAGACAAACGGGGTTCCGGAGAGTCGTTCAAACTAATTTAAAAACAAAACACAGAGGGTCCTCGAAATGCTTTTACTTCTCAAACATGAGACAAACGGGGTTCCGGAGAGTCGTTCAAACTAATTTAAAAACAAAACACAGAGGGTCCTCGAGATGCTTTTACTTCTCAAACATGACAAGGGATCCCGAAGATTCTTTTAAACTACTTCAAAAACAAAAAACAAAAGGGGTTCTGAGATTCTTGAGATTCTTTCAAAATACTTGAAAAACAAAACTAAGGGCTAATGGAGATTCTTTCAAATTATTTGAAAGTCATTCTAAGAATATTTAATGAAACAAGATAATTTTAGAAATATTTAGTGTTTCCTTGACTCATAAACGCAGGCTGCTGTCTGTATTTTGTTATAGGGACACTTTCCAAAACGACCGAACCGATTGCTGTGATTTTTTTTAGAAAAATGTTACTATAAAAAATAGAGTGCGTCGACCCAGGGAGTTCGAGCTCGTAGCTGGAACTCGACATTCTATTCTATTGAACCGTTTTAAATCAAAATAAAAAACGGTCTATTAAGATAAATATTAATGCAAAGTATTTTATAGGCTCCAGTGCCGGTAGAGCCATGGACAGGAATTAGAGATGCCACTAGAGAGGGTCCAGAATGTCCGTCATATCATTCGCTATTTACATATTACGTAGGCTCTGAAGATAATTGCTTAAATTTAAATGTTTATACAAAACATGTACTATTATTTCTAAGTACGAACAATTGAATATCAAAATTTTGTAGTTATCATGTAACTCCACTAGCTTAAAACCAGTTATGGTATGGATTCATGGAGGGGCTTTTTTACGTGGTTCAAATAGAAGTGAGATGTTCAGTCCTGATTATTTAATAACTGAAGATATTGTGCTTGTATGCATAAATTATCGACTAGGAATTCTAGGTAAATTAATTTATATTAAATATATACGTAACTATGTCCAATGTTGTTCAGGATTTCTCAGTTTGGAAGATTCCTCTCTAGAAGTTCCCGGAAATGCTGGTTTAAAAGATATGGTACTTGCACTGCAGTGGGTTCAAAAGAATATACAACAATTCTGTGGTGATCCCAACAATGTTACAATTTTTGGTGAAAGCGCAGGTTCAGCTGCTGTTCATTATCTGTTACTGAGTCCACTATCGAAGGGTTTATTTCATAAAGCAATAGCTCAGAGTGGATGTTCCTTGAACAGCTGGGCTAAAGGCTGTACCAACGGAATATTAGCAGCGAAAAATCTAGGATATGAAGAGAAAGACGAACGAAAAATATTAGAATATTTAATGAATGTACCTGCACGTAAAATGGTAGAAGCTCAAGGGAAAATACTAGATGTAAGTAGACCACTAATGCACTAATATTACGTGACCAGCTACAAACAGTACTAGGTAGTATCCATGTATTAATTATTATTAACTGATCTTTCAGCCGTTTACTGTAGCCACAATAAGACCATTTGGACCAGTTGTGGAAAAATATGGAAAAGGAGCATTTCTTTGCGAAGACCCCATTAACGTTATTAAATCTGGGAAATTTCATCAAGTTCCCTTAATTATGGGATATACTTCTAGAGAAGGAATGCTTTTCGTATTTCTGAACGAGTTAAAATTCGGGAGACAAAGAAAAAATTTCGAAGAAGAAATTTTCTTTGACCGCAAAGTAAACATGGACTCAAGAGCGTCTGAGCAATGTGCTTTAGCAATCAAGAAATTTTATAAACAGGAGGAAGATCAACCTGAAAAGGAAATCGATGCATTCTATTTAGTAAGATATTACCTTTGTAAATTCGGAGAAAAAAAATCTGCTTTTAGTTGAGAACCGACAACTTGTTTCTTTATGGCATCCACAACTGCGTTTCTCAACAGAAATTGGTCAGTCAGGCTCCTATTTATTTTTACAGAATGACACTTGAAACTGTAAACAATCATGTAAAGGAAATCTGCTCTTCTAAACACGTGTACATCTTAATGGTCCTATATTTCTTAATAAGCAAATTAGGTGATGGCTTTATAAAAAATTTTCTTTTAAAGTTAACGAAACTAATACCGCAAAATAAGCGAACTGGAACTTGTCATGGTGATGATTTGTACTACCTATTCCGAACATGTATGAACGAAAAATTTGACGATGGAGATGAAAATAATACTTATATAATGAGATTCGTTAGACTTTGGGTAAATTTTGCTCGAACGGGTGATCCAACTCCCGACAAAAACGATCCACTTATTGAAATTAAATGGACACCTGTAAACAGAAACGAAAATTGTTTGTTAAATATTGATAAAGAACTGAAAATGTTACTAGATCCAGATTTAGAAAGGGTAAAGTTTTGGGCAGATCTTTTCAAAGAGTAGTTAAGGTTAAAATTTTTATGAAGTGTGTAATTTTGGAAATATTTTTGTTTATAAAATGTTGTCTCTCAAGTTTGTTTTTTTTTTGTCCTAACCACACAAATGTCACTTGATTTACCACGCATCATCAAATGTTTAGACTTAGACACTCATACGCAGTAGCAACGGTTGCTGTTGACGTTGTTGTACTGTATTTATAAATTTTTTAAAGTTGATGGTTCATGAGCAATACACATGTATAGCCTGTAATTAAAAAATCATATACGATCATATATCATGTCCCATTATTTGATTTTGAGATTACATTGTACAGGGTGTCTATAAATGGTTATAGGGTCCAAGTAGGTCATGAATACCTGCCGCCTCTCAGATTTCAACTTTTCTAAATTTTCGATTTTTTAAAATACATATATATTTTTTGATTTTTCAATTTTTCGGTTTTACGATTTCTTGGCGTCTTTATTTTTCGATTTTTAATTTTTTTTTTTTACTTTGTAATCGACTTTTTTCGAAAACGAAGTAATTGACTAGTAAAAGTTAAACGTGTCGAGAGAAACAACTCGCAAAATTTTGAAAAATCGAGTAAGTAAAAAGTCAAAAAAGCAGAAAGTGGAAAAATCTAAAAATGTAAAAATAGAAACTTGAAAAATCCCAAAATTGAAAAATCCCAAAACTTAAACAGAGAAATCGAGAAATTGAGAAAACGAAAAATCCAAAAATTTAGAAACGCCAAAAATTGAAAAATCGAAAAATATAAAAATGAGAAAGCAAAAAATCGAAAGATAGAGAAATCGAAACAACAAAAAGAGTGAAAAATCTAAAATCTAAGAATTCGAAAAATTGGAAATTTAAAAAATCGAGCAATCAAAACATCAACAAATCGTAAAATCAAAAAACGGAAAAATCGAAAATTGTAAGATTTAAAAAGTCACAAAATTTTTAAAAATCGAATAAGTAAAAAATAAAAAAAAACAGTAAGTCGAAAAATCTAAAAATTTAAAAATCGAAATACATATTGAAAAATCCCAAAACTTAAACAGGGAAATTGAAAAATTGAAAAATCGAAAAATCGGAAAATGAAAAAATCGATTAATCGAGAAATTGAGAAAAGGAATAATCCAAAAATTTAGAAACGGCAAAAATTGAAAAATCGAAAAATCCGAAAACGAGAACGCAAAAAATTGAAAGATTGAGAAATTGAAACAACAAAAAAAGTGAAAAATCAAAAACGAGAAAGCAAAAAATCGAAACAACAAAAAAGTGAAAAATCTAAAAATTTAAAAATCGAAATACAGATTGAAAAATCCCAAAATTGAAAAATCCCAAAACTTAAACAGAGAAATTGAAAAATTGAAAAATCGAAAAATCGGAAAATTAAAAAATCGATTAATCGAGAAATTGAGAAAAGAAATAATCCAAAAATTTAGAAACGGCGAAAATTGAAAAATCGAAAAATCCAAAAACGAGAAAGCAAAAAATCGAAAGATTGAGAAATTGAAACAACAAAAAAAGTGAAAAAACTAAAATTTAAGAAGTCGAAAAATTGAAAATTTAAAAAATCGAAAAATCAAAAAACTGAAAAATCGAAAAATGTAAGATTTAAAAAGTCACAAAATTTTGAAATATCAAGTAAAAAGTCAAAAAAACAGAAAGTCGAAAAATCTAAAAATTTAAAAATAGAAACTTGAAAAATCCCAAAACTTAAACAGAGAAATTGAAAAATTGAAAAATCGAAAAATTAAAAAATCGATTAATGGAGAAATTGAGAAAAGGAATAATCCAAAAATTTAGAAATGGCAAAAATTGAAAAATCGAAAAATCTAAAAACGAGAAAGCAAAAAATCAAATGACTGAGAAATTTTGAATCAACAAAAAAAGTGAAAAATCTAAAATTTAAGAATTTGAAAAACTGAAAATTTAAAAAATCGAGCAATCAAAACATCAACAAATCGAAAAATCAAAAAACTGAAAAATCCAAAAATGTAAGATTTAAAAAGTCAAAATTTTGAAAAATTGAATAAGTAAAAAATAAAAAAAACAGGAAGTCGAAAATTCTAAAAATTTAAAAATCGAAATACATATTGAAAAATTTCAAAATTGAAAAATCTCAAAACTTAAACATTGAAAAATTGAGAAATCAAGACATCGGAAAGATGAAAAATCGAAAAATTAAAAAATTGATTAATCGGGAAATTGAGAAATCGAAAAATTCAAGTTTAGAATGCCAAAAATTGAAAAATTGAAAAATCCAAAAATTTAAATAATAAATCCCAAAACTAAAACGTTGATAAATCGAAAAATATAAAAATCGCAAAATAGAAACATCAAAAAATCGAGAATTCGAAAAATTGAAAAGTTTTTTTGTGATATCACAATATTTTATTTTTTCATTACGTTTAATTTTTTCAATTTTTCCATTTTTTAATATTTCGGTTTCATAATATTTTGTTTTTGCAATTTTAATTTTTTGAATTTTCAGTTCCTGCACTTCAGAATTTTTCAATTTTTCGTTTCTTCAGTTCCTTGGTTTGTAGTTTTTCAATTTTGCAATTTTTCGGTACTACATTTTTTTATTTTTATTTCTCTCAATTTTTAGTTTTTCTGTTTTTGAAATTTTCAAGGTCTTGATTTTTATTTTTCAATTACCCCATTTTTTAATTTTCGTTTTCTCGATTTTATATCGCAATTTTTCGTTTTTCTTTTGTTCAATTCTTCAAATTTGCATTCTTTGATGTTTCAATTCGTCGATTCTTAAATTTTTCGTCTCTGATTTTCGTTTCGGTTTTTCATTTTCTTTATTTTTACAATTTTTTGAGTTTTCGATGTTCGGATTTTATAAAGTTTTGTTTTTTCAATTTTAAAATTGAAAACTCGCGACATTTTAAATTGAAACATTGCAAAATTTAACAGTGGAAGAAACAAAAAAAAAATAAAAATTGAAAAATTTCCAAATCGAAAAATAGGTGAAATGAAAAATTCAAAAAATTAAAATTGAAAAAACCAACATATAAATTCTAAACACTAAAAAATCGAATATTTGAGAAAACAAAGAAAATAAACGGAAACGAAAAATTGCAAAATGATAAATTGAAAAATAGAAAAGTCGTAAGTTTGAAGGAACAAAAAATCCAAATCGAAAAATGAAAGAAATCGAAATTGAAAAGACCGAACTTAGATAAAATTGGAAACTCGCATGATCGAAAAACTGAGAAATAAAAAAATGGAAATCGAAAAATCGAAAAAACGCGAAATCGGAACATCTGAAGGTCGATAAGTCGAGAAGTCGAAAAATCGAAAAATTGAGATATTGAAATAGCTAAAGATCGAAAAATGGGATAATTCAAAATTAAAAAACCCGATAAATCGAAAACTGAAAAATCGAAAACGAGAAAGCAAAAAATCGAAAGATTGGGAAATCGAAACAACAAAATCTAAAATTTAAAATTTCGAAAAATTGAAAAATCGAAAAATCTAAAATTTCAAAAACTGATAATTTAAAAATCGAGCAATCAAAACATCAACAAATCGAAAATCTAAAAATTTAAAAATCAAAATACATAAGATTTAAAAAGTCGCAATATTTTGAAAAATCGAATAAGAAAAAAATCAGAAAGACGAAAAGTCGAAAAATCGAAACATTTAAAAGTCGGAAGTATTTAAAAAAGTCCCAAAATTGAAATAGAAGATAATTATAATAATTTTTGGGATGAATTACTAAATTTCTGGTTACTTTGTTTAAAATGCATGTATTTGTACTATAGTTGTTATTCAACGTCATATAATAGTCCGAGATTTTAGAGATCTTTGTGTGATTATCTAGTGCAATTCATGAATCTTTAAAATCTTACAAAATGCAAACATTTCCATACACAAACAAAGTGTCTTTCACATTGAAATTTATCAGCAATTTTTTTTAAACCCGGTATTTGTTCAAAAATTTTCTTCATCCTGTTCACAAATAAAAACACAATTGGTTTTTTTAATACGCAAATATATTCTCATAACATAGCAATATTTCGTAAAACACTAGAATGTTTATTCTATTTGAATGCCTATTGTTAAACATATTTAAAGAAATATTTATCGTACTAAGAAAACATGCCCTCTATATTTTTCCATTACCTAAGTTTATTAAACCATCAGCTGTTGTAATAAATTCTTTGGCAATAAAACTGGATGATATTGTTTCAACGCACATATGTTGCTTGAAAAAACACAATGAAAAAAACACAGTTTTTGCTTCAGTTCCTTGCAACGTTTAGTGGTAAGTGCATCACTGTCGAAAATAATATCAATCTGTGGATATTTTTTACATATTTCAGCTTTGCTAAGCATTTTATCATCCGGAATCCATGAAGCCTGGACTTCCGTTTATATTCCAAAACTCCTCAATGGCACCGACAGCATACGGGTTAGCAGCAGCGAGGGCTCCTACATAACTGTATCTTTAGGAATAGGAGGTTTGATAGGATGTGTGGTGGCATATTTCATTTCTGACAACTTCGGAAGGAAAAAAACTATACTTGTGACTTGTATTCCCTTTTTCGTTTCGTCAATTTTATTAGCCTACGCTAAATCCGTACCAATATTTTGTTTATCTCGTTTAATATCTGGAATAGCATCAGGAATGGCATTTGCTGTTATACCCCATTATCTGGGAGAAATTGCCGATCCAGAAATACGAGGAACGTTGGGGACAATGGTACCAATATTCAACCTTATCGGTTTTTTATTTATTAATACCGTGGGATACTATGTAAGTATTACAACGTCGTCTTTGATTACTTCCGTTATACCTTTTATTCTATTGCTATCGTTTGTGTGGATGCCTGAAAGTCCTTACTATTTGATCATGATTGGTCAGTCTGACGCTGCTGAAAAATCTCTAAGACAACTAAAAGGAAAGAAAGACGTTTCGCAAGAATTAAATGACTTAAACGACACAGTTTTAACACAAATGAAACGAAAAGGGAAATTAAGTGAATTGTTTACAAAAAAATCCAACCAAAGGGCCTTGTTCATGGTATTTATTTTACTCAACGGAAAACAGTGGACAGGTATCGGACCTATAGACGCCTATGCTCAGCTTATTTTTCAACAGATGTTTGAAACATTATCACCGTTATTAATAACGCTTGTTTATTACCTCACGAGGTTTGGAATGGTTATCGTTAGTTCCTTTTTAGTAGATAAAGTTGGAAGACGGCCTGTTCTTATTATTTCCTTCATAGGGTCTGCCATAACCTTGTTTCTTCTTGCTCTATTTTTATATATTAAATCTAACACATCTATAGACACTACTAATTATGGTTTTCTTCCAATAATCTTCTTAGAAGGTTTTGCGATTTTCTACAGTTTTCTAACTTCTGTACCGTTGTCCATACTTGGAGAATTATTCCCAATGAATGTTAAATCTTTTGCGTCAATTTTTTACGAAGTCTATCTTTACGGTATCACATTAATTGTAATCAAATGTTTTCAAGTATTGTCAGACAATTTTGGTATGGAATCATCTTTTTTTATTTTTGCTATGTCGTGTCTGATTCACTTAGTGCTTGTGTATAAATATGTTATTGAAACTAAAGGGCGGTCTTTAGAAGAAATTCAGAAATATCTGCATTCAGCATAGAAAATTTCCATCGACAAATTAATGTAAATGTTATAAATAGCGACTAAAGTACAAATCAGTGGACCAAAGCGGATTTTTAAAGAATCCTGATAAAGTGATAAATCATAAAGTAAACTCACCTTTGTACTTGCATAAAATAATATCTAAATTGTACTTATCTAATTTCGTCAACATTGTTACATTATTTTAAATTTATCTTATCAGAATGGACCATTTTTGTATTACATTAATTAATTCAACTTCGAGTGTTGTAATTCGTCACTTCAGCACACATATTAGAAAAAGTCTTGTATTTTCATCAGATGACACTTTGTAAAGTATACTCCTCGTGGACATTATATTTAATGTTTAATTTAATCTATAATTTTATTTTTTAAGTATTAAAAAATTCGAAAAATAAATAAGTAAGATTAAATAACTATGATCTTTTTTTACTGTTTCCTTTATTATAACCAAGACTATTCACTCGATACTGTCACAATTATTGATCTGTAAATAAATAAAAAAAGTGTTATCTTATCTTATCATTCCCGATTGTGCATATGCTTGGGGTTAATACCTGTACCAGATTTTTTACAACTTGTTTTTACTATTGAAATTATTAAATTCATTCTTTAGTTTTATGTACAGAAACACCATGTACATACATAAGGAAATAGTAGTATTAATTTATTATTTGCCTTACAGGCTTAATAAGATTCCCAGTAGGGGTACAAATTAACTTAATCTAATAAATAAAATAAAATAAAATAAATATTCGAGTTTTATATAATAATGATTGGTCTATTCTTTCTGCTTGCCCACCCCTTGCCTTAATTCCCTTATCTTCCGTACTTATTTCATACAGTCCAGTCCTCTTCTATCCGCGTTTAGCACTTCTTCCCTACTTTCCTCCGATTCTCTCAATCCTTCACATCCTTCCAGCATAGGCTCTATTGTTTCTCCCTCTCTCCAACATATCCTACAACTTCTGTCAGTTTCATCCATCCAAATATTATTCTCTTTCTCCCTTTTTGTTTCTTCTCTCACTATATACCCCGGCGTATATTTTTCCAATCCCAATGTCCATTTTAAGTATTTGTCTTGTACTCTCTCTATTTCTTCATATTCCCTCCATCCTCAAATTTCAGCTGCGTACATAAATACAATTTTGATCAAACTATCAAACATCATCAGTCTTTCTTCTCCGTTCCTTGTTTATATGTCTCCATACTTTTTCTTCTGTTTTCAGGGACTTCATTGTCTTCTGTTCTTCTTCTCGGTTTTCTCTTTTTCTTTCCTCCAATTTTCTCCTCTCTTGCTTTTAAGTACTCTTCTTTCTCTCCCTTGTTATTTTTTCATTTTCTTCAACTCACTACATTCGCCATTCCATCCATTATTCCTCCCTTGCCATATGTATATTTTTCTTTTTTCCGTAGCTTCTACAATTAAGTTGATCAGTTCTGTTATCATAGCTTCTATATCTTCTTTCACTTCGAATTTCTTTTTTTCTAGTCTACTTCTGTATCTTTGAATTCCCTCTTCATCCCACATTTTTTTTTCTATTTTTTTTGTTTCGTTTCTTCTCTCTTGTTTCTAGTGGCATGTGGTCTGATTCTACTCTTTCCCCCATTTTGAAACTCTCTATTTCTTCACACGTCTCTTCGTTGACAATCCCATAGTCTATAATTGATTCTCCCCTAGCCCCTCCATTCTCCTTCATCTCCAGCCTTGTTTCCATTCAAAATTTCCCATCCCATTTCTTCTATTATCTCCCACAATATTTTCCCTTCTTTGTTATTTGCTTTGTCTTTTGATCTTCTTTTCTCTGCTTTTTCGTTATCTATTATTCTTGTCTCCTTATCGCCCAGTCTTGCGTTAAAATCCCCTCCTATAAGTATTTTTTCATCTCCTTTTTCTTTTGTTTCTTTTTCTATGTGTATCTTGGTTTCCTACACTTTCTTGCTATAAACGGTTATTATTTCCCACTGGTTGTTATCCAGCTGTATTACTTTCTTCATTAGTCCGTTTTTATTATTACTTTGCTTTTTCAATTCTTGCATTTATTTTCGAATTTATTTATTTATTTTTCTCCTTAGGAATAAACTGAATATTTATAAGTCCACTTCCTGTTTGTTTTTCTATCGAATTACCATTCTCTAGAGTTATAATTTATCCATTTTTAAATGCATATGGCCTGTATTAAATTCGGTAAACACATTTCGGCAATTATTTTCATTTAAGTGTTCCATTTTCACACAAAATATTAAACTTATAACTGGAATTAGCGATAACAATTTTTGATAAATCGTCGCCTGGGACCATGTTTGATCCACAAACCGAAGGGCGCTCAGACCAATGTCGACTCTAAGCGTTCAGAATTGAACAAAAGAAATTGAAAAGTTCCCAAAACTGGTGATGTTGAATTTTTCAACATTATCAGAAATTTATTGAGAAATCGAAAACTTGAAAAATCGAGAAATCTATAAATTGAAAAGTCGAAAAATTTTAAAAATCAAAAAACCAACATGTCAAAATTTATTAAACTTGAAAAATTCAAATATCGAAAAGTTGTAAAATTTAGAAGTCTGAACATGAAGATATAAAAAAAAAATTAAAACCGAGAAATTGAATAATTGGATAAATGGAAAATCGAAAATTTAAAAATTCCGAAAATTGAAAAATTGAGATATAGAAGAACTGAAAACTCGAAAAACCTAAAATTTTAAAAACTGAAAAGTTAAAAAATCGAAAAGTTGAAAAATTGAGAAATCGAAGTATAAAACAGTCGAAAAATTGAAAAATCGAAAGTTTAAAAAACGAAAAGTTGAAAATCCAAATAGTAAAAAGTCGAGAAATCTAAATATCCAGAATTAGAAAAATCAAAAAGAAATACTAAAAATGAGTAGAAAAACTGAAAAATCACAAAATTGAACAAAATATTCTAAAATTAGGAAGTTAAAGAATTGAAAGATTGAGAAACCAAAAAGTCAAAAAGTAAATTCGAAGAATCGCAAATTTAAAAAATCGAAAAATTGAAAAATCAAAAACTTGAAAAATCAAGAACCTAAAAAATTAAAAATCTGAGAAATCGAAAAATTGAACTGAAAAACTGAAAGATCTAAAAAGTAGATTAATTGAGAAATCGGAAATCTGAAAATTCTGAAACGTCAAAATTTGAAAAATTTTAAAATATTGAAGAACTGAAAAATCGAAAAATCGAAAAATATAAAATTTAAAACACTGAAAAATTAAAAAATCAACAAATCGAGAAATCGAAACTCGAAAATTAAAAAAAATGGAAAAATGGTTGAAAAAACGAATAATGCAAAAATCGAAAAACCGATAAATCGAAAAATCGAAACATCGAAAAATTCAAAAACTGAGACATCGAGAAATCGAGGGGTCGAAAAGTGGAGAAGTCGAAAAATCGAAAAATTGAGAAACCGAAATAGGCTAAATTCGAAAAATCGAAAAATTGAGCTATCAAAACATCGAAACATCCGGATTTCGATAAATCGAGATCGCAAAAAATTGACAAATCGAAAATTTAAAAATTCGGAAATTAAAAAAATAAAATATACAAGAACTGCAAAATCGAGGAATCGAAAAATCTAGAACTTTAAAAATGAAAAATTAAAATATCGAAAAGTTGATAAACTGAGAAATCGAAATATAAAACAGTCGAAAAATTGAAAAATCTAAAGTTTGAAAACGAAAAAATAAAAAATCGAAAAATTCAGAAGTCGAAAATCAAAAATTCGAAGAAACGAAATATTGAAAAATCCCAAAACTGAGAGAAATATTAAAAATTGAGAAATAAAATTGGAAAATTGAGACAGAAATATGTAATGTCTGTCCGTCTGTCTGTCTGTCCGTCTGTCCGTTTGTCTGCCGTCCCGGATTTTTATTAGACAGATAATCTCCGAAAGTACTGCACCGATTGTTGTGAAATTTTGTAGTTATATTAGGAATATCATGTATTTAGATGGTTAAACGCTAACCAAAATTTGTCTAATCATCCCCACCACTAATGTGATGACGTCACTTCAAAATTGTACATAGTAAACGTATACAGGGTGACTCAAAAAAATTAATAAATGCGCAAAATTTATTTTACTGATTTACTCAGGAACTACAAAACCGAATGCTTTGAAATCTTGAAGATGTTTTAAAATTACCATAAGCATGGTAAATTTTTTATCAAAATGTATTTGCTCTTCCCCCCTAAAAAATTGATGACGTCACTCCAAAATTTTGCTGAATAAATCCTATCTAAAATGTACAAAATATGATGAGTCTGTACTTGTGATTTATTATTCCATTAATATTTTTTAGATTTTCTTAAGAGGTGGCTCAAAAAAATTAATGAAGTCAATTTATTTTATTGGTTACATTAAAGGCAACACTTATTATTAGTATTACATTGGACCAACCCAATTTGGTAGACACAAAATTTTTTAAAGTAAAAACTCGGTTGAAACATAAGGGTAACACGCTTATTTACATCTACTTTAACATTACAGACATGCATTTGTTTTGTGCGCTGGCTAGGTTCCGCGAATGTGGAATAGACATGTTTATAATCAACCAATTGTGAATTCCACCGTCAAAAATTAAAATAAAACCCAATGTTTTATATAATAAGCGAAAGTCAAAGCAATAAAACCGATGGTCGTTTTGTTTACAGTTTCTCTGTTTGACTCTCACGTATGCTATGTTACGCTTGTCATCTTAAATTAAGAATGCTTATACACACACGATTTTCAGTTCCCTCTCATATTACACACCGGCGCCGTATACGTGAGTAAATTGTTTCGTTATTTTATTGATTATAAGAAATCAATATTCAAAACGACCCAATTCATTTTCCCGAAAATTTGGGAATACAATAATTTTATTCTTAGTATTACACTACATCTATCCCAACTGATATACGTGTCCTTGCAAAAATGTTGATGACGTCATCACATTTTTTTTTTAAATTCCCACTACAAAAATGTAATGAGAAAAAAAAACACAATAGGCATGCAGTCGTCAAATTTCCGACAGCGAGGGAAGTACTGTCTAAACTCTTTAGACCAATTTTTTCCAAACGTTTTGGGTAAAAATTCAACACGGAGTTCTAAACTACATGTATAGAACTATGTTATTTTATACAATTAAAAACCCGTTTACTGGATACAATTTTGAAGTGACGTACGGGAGACCCATTTCTTCGTAGTCTAGGGTCACGAAAGGTCAAGAAAACGTAAAGGTAGAGAGTCGGTTGACGGACTCGATTACAATACTTACAATGCTTACGCTCAGCATTCAGGAAGGAAAAATATATAAGTAAATTCTATAAATTATGTTGAAAACTACAAAACAATTTTTTTTCAAATTTTTATAAAGTATCTCTTCAGTAATACAATATAATAATCGAGTACGAAAAAAATAGTCTCCCATTTAAGTCTGTCTGTTCGCCTGTCTGTCTGTCTGTTTGGCGTCTGTATCAATCCGAAACAACTGTACCGATTGTTGTCAAATTTTGTATATGTTAGGAGTATCATGTGGACGATAAATAAAACGGTAACCAAAATTTGGCTAATCATTCCCACCAACAATTTGATGACATTATTTCAAAGAATGTTTTTTTAAAATGATTTAAATGTTATGCAGTAATATACGCCTATGGTTGTGTTGTACAAATCCGCTTTGAGGGATGTAAACCCTTGTAGACTTGTTATTTAGGAGAACGCCGAATTGCACACCTGCACGTTCGATGCCAAACTTTCTCTTTTTTCTCTGGCTTGTAGACTGGACTCAAACATTTAAGGCTTTTATGGCTTCACACCAATTTGACTCCCATTATAATTCAATAGGCCGGATGTCTTAAACCCGCTCCCCGATACCTACCGGAAAAGACCTTTTCTGGTAAAAGCACAGGGCAGGACTGAGTTTTGCATTTACCGACAACTGCGCCTTTCGATTTTTTTTATTTTAGGTAAAAACAAAGTAACTTTGACTCAATCATTTTTTATTACAGCAAATTAGTTAGAATTTTGACATAGACAACTGTTTACTTATTAACTACTACTGCTTATTTATTGATCGAAATAGTCACTGTCATCATCACCCGACTCTTCTAAATTAATAATTAACGGTTTTATCAACCGTGACCTGTACTGGTCCTCTTCTTTTATGGAATGTCGTACACAATTGGCCCACGTTTCGGCAGTTATTTTGGAAGCTTCTTCCCTAATTATGTCAATTGTTGCACTACTAAATTTTGGTGAGGTATTAGGTATTATTCTTTCTTATATTATTTTTCATTTGCGACCAGATTAGTTCGATGGGGTTAAATATACAATGGTACGGCGGAAGTCTACTCAATCACCCTAAATCCACGATCTCGCGCCATAGCATCTATTTTATATTGTTTCTCAAATTTTCGAGTGTGTAACAATTCTAATAATTGTGCCTTTGTGTAATTGTCTTTAAAGTATAAATTTGAATTTGAATTTGAATTATTTGAATTAACTTTATTGGTGTATAGGACATAAAACATGTTTTACACAAGTCACGAATACTATTATAAACTTAGATACAGTACATTATAGTTCACTGGTGCAAATTTGCAAGAGATTATCAAAGTAACTGGTCATTCTACACCAAACTCGTTGAAACCATACTTAAAACTCAACGAACAGCATCATACCAAAATCATCAATCAAATTCGGAACAATCAAAATGTTTCGTCGTCATCAGTGCCATCAACTTTTCCCCTTCAACAGCAGGAACCTCTTAATACAAATAATATTTATTATAATAACTGTATTTTTCATTTTCATAATAATTAAAGTTAATTTAGTGTAAAAGTAATTAGTATACTGTCAATTCAATATATAATCGTAACGAATATCACTCGAGCATTAGAAAATAATCTCAATACTAACCTTTTAACTCGACAATAATCAGAAACACCACTCGACCTTCGGTCTCGTGGTTTTTCAGATTATTAGTCTCGTTAATCGGTTAATATTTTCGATTATTTTCTATGCTCTTGTGATATTATAACTGATAATAACTTAGTGGACCAGTTTTCTATGATTGCAATCGTACTTATTAAAGATTTTATGTTTTTTGCTTTCAGTATATCAATAATATTTTCAAATGTGCAGAATAATGATTAAATAATTAAGGTACGGAAAAAACGTTAAAAACAAAATTACTCTTAGCCCGGTCCTTCGCGTCTCGGCCGTCCCTGGCACGTGGCATGGTTTACATTTACTAAGTTTTATGAAAGGTCGGCTGTAAAGTACTTTAAACGTCAACGCCATAAACGCCTTAAATGTTTGAGTCCAGTCTACTATCTATGTTTATGACGGCATAACAAAATTTTTATTGATCGAATTCAGAACAAGTCACCCCATTTTATCTGTTTACGTGAGAATACGTATGTCTGTATTTAATAAGAATTACTCCTATAATAATAATATTCAGAACATTTTGTTCGACTGTGGCTTTGTTGGACTCGTACTTCAAGCGCGAAGGGAGTTTTGTGGAAATATTCGAGCAGTTTTTTTTAATTTTGATAATATGTACTTATTTGATACGTACGACTATGTAATAATTGCATTGTATGGACAATCTGAATATATGGTAGTGTTTTTCTCCTTTTATACCAGTAAAGTACAGATGTTATCCGTAAACACACCCTAATTGTTGTAAAAATTGGAAGTTATTTATGTTAATTATGTATCAAACACACCAAGCGCTAAACTTTCATTCATGCCTTAATTCCTTGCATTATAAACAAATATCGTAATAACCGTATCTAGTACAATGGCCGTTCATTTTTTTATTTAAATAAAGTATGAATTTAAACGCATACACCAGGCATCCTCTAAAAATTGGGATTTATTGGCATGTTGTCAACATGTGCTTATCATAACAATAATGAAAGAAAAGCTGAAATTTGGCTAAAATTGAACAAAAACCTTTCACCAGTCCACCGTTCTTCGGGAGTGGGCTATTTTGCTTTAACGTAATCGCACTGGTCACGAGGCTGATGAGTTGGTGTTCGTCCAGACTACTGTTAACGTAGTTCACAAGAAAAAAGAAGGGAGAGCCACTATCCACTATTACGTTTGTGGATGAAGTGAAGTGAGGGGCAAGACGGAGCAATTAGCCCCGCACATGTCCATAAGGTTGCCTCTCTTTCAATATCTATACTCACTGATCTTGTTTTGAATTTTTCTTTCCGTTTTCGTCAAATCATCATTTATGTAAATTGACGACCCTTTTAAGTTCTTCTTGCTTTTCATTACATTTATTTTTTCTTCTTTATTTTCGAATTCCACTACATAAACTTTTTCTGCAATTTTGTACGCGCTTTTAGCTTTACTCTCTACTTTGGCTTTCTCTTCTAAAGATTTTGTCACCTTTTCAGTTATCTGCTTCTGCTCTCCCCTTCCTATTTCCAATCCCATCATCACTACTTTGTTTCTTCTCGTTTCTCTCTCCATTCGGTCTAGGTAACTTTCTACTTCACCTACTGTCTTTCCCATTTCTTCCGTAGCTCTCTTCCATTCTTCATGCCTATCTCTAGTTTCTTGATTTGGCTCCTGCAGTTGATCTCTTGCTTGCTTTAATTCTTCTCTTATTGTTTTAAGCTCCTCTTTAAGCTGTGTATTCCATTCCTTCAATAATTGTCTATTACTTTCTCTCATCATCTCTGATTTGTGTCGCAAGTTCGCTGATCATCTTCTTGACCTCCTCCATCTCTATATCTCCTTGATTTTTCTTCTTTATCGATTGCAGAGGTGATCTTACTGTTATTCTGCTTCTTTGGAAGACCTGCTCGTTCTCTTCGGACGTTATTCTCCTATCCTATTTATCGCTTCGCTGTTATCGTTTCACTTAAAAATGGCTCCGCGCTTTTTGCACTGCTACTCGTAATTGTACTTACTACTATTTTAGTGAATTATTGCCACTAATGCTTGTTTACTTTTAATTCAGATTTAATATTGCCTGTATTGTCACTGGTGTGAATTTTTCGCACACGAACTAGTACGGTTTGTCGGCTCAATTGGGAATCCTACATAAGGAAATATATACTCACCATTATATCTACTACAATTCAGAATAGAGCACTTCGTTTTGAAACACTATTTTCTAGTTTGCAAAAATAACCACTTAAAAAAATATTATATTTTAATAGGTAATTAAATTACATAAAACCTAAGTATTTACAAGTACTTCTAATCAACTAGGACTATATATAGACTCCCAAAACTGCATTCGATCCTGTTCTGGATTGCTGTCCACTTTTAACTCCGACCCTATATCTAAAAAGTGATTGTCTTCTTTATTCACCGGTTTCCATTGAACATTATTTAAAAGAGGGTCAGGGTTTCCAGGTGTCGGTTCACCGGTTTTGGCAAAATTAGTCCATAGTTTAACAAACCTTCGAACCGAGGTCTCCTCTAAACTACCTGGTTCAAGAGTTTGACTAAGAAATGAAGGAAACAAATATCCTAAATCATCTGCGTGGCACACCCCAGTTGGTGAATTGCTCGGCAAAGATTTTGAGAGCGTCAAGAAGCATTTCTTCCCTGATTTGTAAGACAAAAAGTAACACAGGAAGAGAAGAGGCAACGACTTTGTTGTGCAAACATTTTTGTAATAATTTAGTGACGTATCAAGTGACATTCTGTAGAAATATATAGGCGCTGTACTGTGCAGTTTTTGATATTGAATGCTTCTGTATATTCCGTGCAGAAATTGTGTGTCCGTCTTTAACTGAAAACAAGTGTTAGTTTATTTAAATTTAATGAAGTATGATACTTACCAAATGTGTGTTGTCCATATTCTTTTCGGACGGTTTTTCCTCCCCAAAATAAAACTTCTGAATTTTACTAGCCACTTCTTTTGATTTTTGAGAGCCTTTTTCAAGTTTCAAATCATGAGGAACTTCAGTTTCGAAATCACTTATCAACTTAACTCCTGGCAAAATTTTCCTTACTGCTTCAAAAAATATCCCTTCCTTTGACGTGTATCCTATTATTAAAGGAACGTGGCTGAATTTGCCTGACTTTAGTATATCTAGAGGCTCCTCAGTCAGAAATGCTCCTTCCCCAGGTTTTTCCACAACTGGCCCGAATGGTCGTACGAGGTCTGCAGTAAATAGCTGAAACGTCATGATTATCAGAACTACATCAGTATTTTATAGTTGTTACGTACATCTAGACTTTTATGTTGGGCTTTAACAAGTTTAGATTCGGATTGATTTCTCAAATAATCTAAAATTTTCTTTTCCTCTTTCTCTTTATATCCTAAGCTGTTGGCAATTATTTTTCCATTATTACATCCACTAGCCCAGAGGCTCAATGCGCTGCCACTCTGAATAATGGCTTTATGAAAAAGGCCTTTTGATAAAGGTGACAAGTATAAATAATGTACTGACGCTGCACCAGCACTTTCTCCAAATATTGTAACGTTGTTTGGATCGCCGTTAAAGTGTTTGATGTTTCTTTGAACCCACTTTAGAGCCAAAATCATATCTTTGAGTCCGGCGTTACCCGGAACTCCCAACGACGGATCTTCGAGACTGAGAAATCCTAAAATTTATCTCTAATTAATTAATTAATACCACTGATATGATATTGTAAGTAAACAAAATTTTATTAAATCCGTTTTAAGACAATAATTGTCGAATAAGCGATAAGATAATTAATATCATGTGTTGCATAATATCCTGGTAATATTGTAATTACGCACGACACTGCTTATCATTTTTAATCTGTTATTTTAAAAATGCCGTGAGGACGTCACAAATTGACACCAATTAACTCTGATGACGCAACGAAACATACCCAAGACTCCTAAACGATAATTGATGCATACCAATACAATGTCTTCTGTCATTAAGTAATCTGGGCCAAAAAGTTCACTTTTGTTTGATCCATATAAGTATGCCCCACCATGGATCCATACCATTACCGGTTTAGGGGAACTGGCATTTTCCTGAGGTAACTAAGAAAAATTTTTTAGTATTGTCCGGTCACATTAGTTTAGCAAAACTTACTTCTTTGGTATAAACGTTTAAATTCAAACAGTTGTCTTCGGCACCAATTAAATATGTGAAAAACATGTGTTTTGATGGACACTCGGGTCCCTCTTCAGTGGCATCTCGCACGTCATTCCAGGGTTCCACTGGTATTGGTGCCTAAAAATGTATTTAATTTATAATTTAACATAGGTTGGGTTGAACACGGTGGAATAATTATACACATTGTTAATATATAAAAAAAATAATGCATTTTTCCAAAAACAGGTAGCAAATCTAATACTAGAGTTGAATTTTTGGTTGCCTACCACACCGAAAAAGTTTACGAAAGTTAAATTAGAAATTGCAGAAATTTTAGACTTCATAAAACTCCAAGTAATTCCCAAAGTGTTCAAAATTTCCGTAAGCTCTAAAGGGTCTAAAGACTCTAAGGACTCTAAGGGGTCAAAAGCTAAAATTGCTTCGAATTCTTGAAAGATTCTAAAGGTTCTAGAGAAATTCCAAAAGGCCAAAGATTCTAAAACTTGTGAAAATCGCGTGAACAGTTAAAATACCAAAGATTGTAAAAATTCCAAAGACTTTAAAGAAAACAAAAATCATAAAAACCTAAAAAGATCGGAAAATGCTTTCTTTAATTTTTATAAATCCTAAAAGCACTGAAGGCCTTGAACACCCTAATTATTATCTTACAAATCTTGGAGACTGTCAAGATTCCAGAGATTCCACAATTTTCAAACATTTAGACTCTTGAGATCTATAAATTTTAGTGTGGAAGAAATGTGGTAGACCTAGAAATCTTGAAAATATTGGAAAACATTGAATTCCAAAATTCTGGTATAACTGGAGCCTGATAATTTTAGAAATTTTGGAAAATCTGAAAAATTAGGCTAATTTGGAAAATCTGAACGCTCTGGAAATTTTGAAAATTTTGCAAATTACGAAAATTCCCAAAAATTAAAAGAAAAGAAAAAATATTGAATCTCAAAATTTCATGAAAAATTCTAAAAATCTTAAAGTTTTCATACACTGGAATCTGCGAATTGTAATTTTTCGGTTTTTCTGTTTGTCAATTCTTAATTTTTGAATTTTTCGATTTTTTATGTCCTCAATTTTCCAAATTCTTGCTTTTATTTTTCATTGTTTCAATTTTTCATTGACTCTTTCGGTTTTATAATCCTTCAGAGTTCCAATCTTCAATTTTTCAATTTATCGATTTTCTGATTTTTCATTTTCTTTAAATTCAATATTTCGTTTTTAGATTTTGATTTCTCTCAATCTTTGATTGATGATTAAAAGTTGAATAACTAAAAAATCGGAAAAATATGATAAAATCGAGAAACTGCTATCGAACAAACCAACAATTTTAAAAATTACAGTTATTACATATTTAAAATGAAAGCAAGAAAATGAAATTAAAAACTGAATGAACGAAAAATTGAAAAATCGAGAAACTGAAAAACGTAAAATTGAAAAAACGAAAAAATAAAAAATCCAAAAGTGGGAAAATTGAAAACTTGAAAATCTCAAAATTGCACACCGAAAAATTGAAAAAACCAAGAACTGATAAATTTCGCATTGAAAAAATAAAAATTATGACAAAATCAGAATGTTGAAAAACCGAAAAAATTGAGAAGCTAAAACATCGAAACGAAAAATTACAAAGCAAAAATTTGAAGAAATGAAAAATTATAAAAGCGAAATATTGAAAAATGAAAAATGAATCCTCAAAAAGTTTTAAATCAAAAACGAAATTTTAAATCAAAAACTAAAAGTCTAAGAATTGAAGAAACAAAAAAAATGAAAAAACAGAAGATTTTAAAAATTAAAATTCAAAAAACAACAATTTATAAAATCGGAACATTCAAAAAATCAACTAATTGTTTTTTCCATTATTCAATTTTTCAATGTTTCGATATTACAATTTATTTTTCGTTTTTTCATGTCTTTGTTTCCTTAATTTCTTCTTAAGTTCCTGTATCTAATATTTTCAGTTTTTAGAATTTTTAATTTTCATTTTTTCCATTTTGTATATCAATTTCTTCTTTTTCCTTTCAGTTATATTTCAATGACTCTTTCGATTTAATAATCCTTCAGAGTTCCAATCTTCAATTTTTCAGTTTATGGATTTTCCAATTCCAATTCCTCGATTTTCCAATTTTGCAATTTTACAATTTTTGGATTTCGCAATTATCTGATTTTTCGTTTTCTTTAAATTCAATATTTCGTTTTTCGATTTCAATCTTGATTCTTCTATCGAAAAATTAAAAGTTGAACAACTAAAAAATCGGAAAAACTGCTATCGAAGAACTGACGAAACCAAAAATTAAAAAATTACAATTATTACATATTTAAAATGAAAACAAGAAAATGAAATTAAAAATTGAATGAACGAAAAATTGAAAAGTCGAGAAATTGAAAAATCTAAAATTGAAAAAACGAAAAAATAAAAAATCCAAGAGTGGGAAAATCGAAAACTTGAAAATCTCAAAATTGCACACCGAAAAATTGAAAAATCCAAAAACTGATAAATTTCACATTGAAAAAAGAAAATTATGATGAAATCAGAACGTTGAAAAACCGAATATTTGAAAAAATTGAGAAGCTAAAACACCGAAACGAACAATTACAAAGCAAAAATTTGAAGAAATGAAAAATTATAAAAGCGAAAAATTGAAAAATGAAAAATGAATCCTCAAGAAGTTTTAATCAAAGACAAAATTTTAAATCAAAAACGAAAAATCTAAGAATTGAAGAAACACAAAAAATGAAAAAACAGAAGATTCTAAAAATTAAAATTCAAAAAACAAAAATTTATAAAATCGGAACATTAAAAAAATCAACTAATTGTTTTTTCCACTATTCATTTTTTCAATGTTCCGATATTACAATTTATTTTTCGTTTTTTTCATGTCTTTGTTTCCTTAATTTCTTCTTAAGTTCCTGTATCTAATATTTTCAGTTTCTACAATTTTTAATTTTCATTTTTTCCATTTTGTATAGCAATTTCTTCTTTTTCCTTTCAGTTATATTTCAATGACTCTTTCGATTTAATAATCCTTCAGAGTTCCATCTTCAATTTTCCAATTTCAATTCCTCGATTTTCCAATTTTGCAATTTTACAATTTTTGGATTTCGCAATTATCTGATTTTTCGTTTTCTTTAAATTCAATATTTCGTTTTTCGATTTCAATCTTGATTCTTCTATCGAAAAATTAAAAGTTGAATAACTAAAAAATTGGAAAAACTGCTATCGAAGAACTGACGAAACCAAAAATTAAAAAAAAATACAATTATTACATATTTAAAATGAAAACAAAAAAATGAAATTAGAAATTGAATGAACGAAAAATTGAAAAATCGAGAAATTGAAAGATCTAAAATTGAAAAAACGAAAAAATAAAAAATCCAAAAGTGGGAAAATCGTAACTTGAAAATCTCAAAATTGCACACCGAAAAATTGAAAAATCCAAAAACTGATAAATTTCACATTGAAAAAAGAAAATTATGATGAAATCAGAACGTTGAAAAACCGAATATTTGAAAAAATTGTCAAGCTAAAACACCGAAACGAAAAATTATAAAGCAAAAATTTGAAGAAATGAAAAATTATAAAAGCAAAAATTGAAAAATGAAAAATCAATCCTCAAGAAGTTTAACATCAAAAACGAAATTTTAAATCAAAAACGAAAAATCCAAGAATTGAAGAAACAAAAAAAAAATGAAAAAACAGAAGAATTTAAAAATTAAAATTCAAAAAACCAAAATTTACAATATCGGAACATTCGAAAAATTAACTACGTAATTGTTTTTTCAATTATTCAATTTTTCAATGTTCCGATATTACAATTTTTCATTTTTCGTTTTTTCAAGTTTTTGTTCCTTAATGTCTTCCTTTTCTGTATAAAATTTTTCAGTTTTCAGATTTTTTAATTTTCATTTTTTCGATTTTACTTATATCACAATTTTTTTCGTTTTTTCATTTCCACTATTTTTTCAATGTTTCCTTCAATTTTATTTTTTTTCGTTTATTCAAGTTTTCAAATTTTCAATCTTTGATTTTTTTCTGGGTTTCCCAATTTTTCAATTTTACATTTTCTGAATTTCTCATTTATCCGATTTTCCGTTTCTTCAATTCTTGAAGTTCTTCTTTTCCAGTTTTTATATTGTTTCGTATTTTTCATTTTTGATTTTTAGTTTTACAATTTTTACATTTGTTTGATTCGAGAAGTTGAAAATCGGAAAATTAAAAGTCGAAAAACTAAAATATCGGAAAAAATTGTAAATCCAAAGAACGGAAGAAACGAAAAATCGAAACATCAAAAAAATAAAAATCGAGAAACTTCCAAATCGAGAAAAATGAAAGTGTCGAAAAATTGGAAAACACATAAACAGTAAAATCGAAAAATTATAGAATCCTCACAATTGTAAATTCGGAAAACTGAAAAAACGAAAAATTAAAAAATCCAAAAGCTGTAAAATCGAAAAATTGCAAAGCGAAAATTTTAACAAATTGAAAAGTTTCACACACACTAAAAAAAAGACAAATTACAATAAAATCAAAACACTGAAAACCTATTTTTTATTTTGTTTTTGGATTTTTCAATTTTTTTAATTCGAGAAGTAGAAAAATCGAAAAATTCAAGTATCGAAAAACCAAAAAGTCGGAAAAAACTGGAAAATCGCGTAAATTTTATAGCAAATAGTATGTAATAAAAAAAATTATGATTAGCGCTTTTTTCTATTTTTTTCACATTCTAGAATATTAGCCCCGCCCACCCACCCTGTCTCCTTTTCAGTGATTGAGTTTATCCGATCTGAATGAAATTAATGATCTTATACTGAACAAAAATAAAATTAGTCGTTAGAATGGGAAGAGGGCGGGTGGGCGGGGCTAGTACTTAGTAATATAAAACTGATTTTGGCCCTTTTGATATTTTCGCCCATTTTTCAACTATTTTCTAAAATTATTTCGCGTCTGGTCAACATATTTTGCACATTTTAGTGCAGTAATTCAAGATTTTCTGGCCGTAACTGTACACCTATCGCTTCAAATTGAATTATTGGTTGCCTAACTATCAGGCACAAGTGCTAGTAATAACAGTTAACCGAAGTAACTAGATTTTTTAGATCCCTACAGGGTGACTATGTTATGAACCAAGAAATTTGACAAATACACAAACAATTTTTTAATTTACACAGAATTGTCCTCAGTAGCTTAAATTAAACTAGTAAACATAGTAAGGCTAAAATGCGAATCACTGTTTATCACAACCACAAATGAAAAATGTGTGTAGCGGCTAGATATTTTAACTGTACAGATACTGATGAAAGGTGAACATGTTAACATCGAAGGGTAAAAATATATTTAATCCAAACTTAATTTTCATGCAAATATTTACATATATGACCTTAACACAAAACTCGAACCAAAACTTGGCGTAGTAGTCTTGAAAAACTTGAATTGTACTTTGATTGACACGTTAGTAAACAGAATTACTAACATAGAAGATGAATTTCTACCTATTAAATTTTAATACACATTAATGACACAGGGAGACCAGTTTTAATGGCATATATTTGTAAAACCAGAAAAATATTTGAATTACGTTTTAATTATTTGATGATTCTGCACTACTCAAGGTAAAAAGAAGCGTTTTTAATACTGTACCAAATATGTACAAGGTTATGGGTAATGACCGTCGTGAGTGTTTAATTATGTTAATAGGATGGTTCCGAACATATTTTTACATTTTTTTACAAAAATATTAGTGAATATTAATTATGTATTATACAAGACGATAAAGGAATCTAAGCGTGGAAAATGTTTTATTTTATTTTATTTTGTACCAGATTTTTAGTAAAACTTTAAAACTCGTCGAATGTGAGCGTACGAAAATTTTCAATTTGACTTTGTTTGTTTGGTTTCAATTTAGAACTTTAACAAACAACAGAATAAATAGTATATAAAAGACCTGTTTATCTACTAAAAATAAGGTCAAACAGCTTACTTTTAACAGCTGATACAAATTAAAACAATTAATTTTATTAAATTTTGACGTTTTAAACTGTCTTTATTAAATCCTTAGCAACCCTGTTTTTAATTAATACACTCGTACCTAGCTCTTAGATTTTTAATACATTCACAAAAAATAAAAAAAACAGCTTCGGGAACATTAGATTTTGTTTATTAAGATTTTCAGGCATTTTTTGGGAGTTTTAACAGAATAAAAATAGAAATTTCTGTGCTTTCCGTTTTTAGAAAAAATGTTCAAAATGTATTGTTGTTAAATTATGTCATAAAATTTTAAACTCTTGTTTGGTTTTATAATATACATATAGTTTAGTGCTAATTTTATTTAAATACACAAAAGAGAGAGTCAGTTTTCACTTGCAATTAAAGTACTAAGAACTTATTAATTACAAGGTACTTTAAATCTATCACGTTTTCTATTGTTGCTGTGCTAAGCTGTGTTTTCTGCTTGTCTACAGTCATTGTAACTCGATAACTTTATCACTTTTCAGATTTATTGTCATCGTTTGACACAGACAAGATAGACAGTATCCGCCTAATAAAAAATCCGGTTGCACGAAAAATAGTAAACAAACCTTGAAATCTGTTCCATTTTTAATCTTTTAATATACATTATTTAAATTTCATACACATTCTGGTCAAAGATTAGAACAAATGTTCAAGTTCGCGTTGACGTACTTTTACTTAATACCAGCAAGTTAGTACGCCAATGACAAAGGTTTAATGGACAATTTATGTAATTGTAGTACGCAACACTTAATCATCATTCATCACACTATTGTGCTCTCTTGTTATAATATTAACCTCAAAGTTCTAAATCCAAATAAACATAACGTTAATAATAATAATCTCATTAAGCATGCAGTTATAAAAATATAATTATTACAGTTTATTGTAGTTTCTGTCGAAATACAAAAAAAAGACAACTAAACTGATCAAATTAATCAGACTTATTAACTACAAACGATAACTCGTAAAAATTACTTACAAAATCACGTTTAGGTACAACTACAAACTTTCATTATAATAATTAATTTAAATAATAAACTGAAAGTAAATGTTTCCAAATTTATGTATCTACGAAAGTTTCAAGGATTGTAATCGAGTAGAATACTTTGAATAGATTTTTCGATTTTTTGTAAACAGGTTGCAAAAATCTAAAATCAGGAGGTTTTAGACACACAAAACAATAGTAATGCAATTTCACTTTAAGCAAGACTTGACAAAAAGTTCAAGCTCTTTGTTTCAGTATTGCATTTTATCCGTACCCTTATTATGCAAACAAATTGCACACTCAAAAAATAAACGTGAATTTGAAAAATAATTTTTGAAAATTTGTCGCATAAAAATTTTTGGTTCAAAATTTAAAAACCCTTTCTTTACGTAAGTTCAATACAGAGTACGCTTACCTTAAATCTGAGTTCTCCAACAGGAGGTTGGCCATAAGGAATTCCCAAAAAACTACAAAATGTGCCACCACAATAATTCTGAGAGATTTTTCCTTTTAATTTTCCTTCATCTATAGTCACAATAGGAGATGTCATTTTAGGCGTCTGCTGTACTAAACCGCTTTGGTTACACTGTAACACATAACTGTTATTCGCGATTCTTAACCGGTTAGTCGAAACAGCGTTGGGAGGAACCACGTGGAATCGGATGTGAACAACATTGGCTGACGATAGTTTACGTTATCTATTTATAAAACTCACTTGCACAGTGTGGTTTATTTTACTCATATTGGTAGTTCGTTGGAAGAAGCGGAATGTTGTACTGTGAAAATTTAATTTTTTGTAATATTTTGTCATATCATTGACTTTTAATGTGACTTTTGATTGAAGCTTGAAGCTTACTGAAACTTGATTTATGTTTAATTTCATTTTTTTAAATTTTGAATTATCTGAGTTTCACATACGCGTTTTGTGAAACAAAAAGTTATCAAAGTTTACATTGTAGGCCGAAAATTCAAATCACAATTTAAAATTTTGCGTCAAAACTTTATTATTAACTGGAATTGGCCAAAAATCATTAACGTTCTGTGTTATGATCTTACATGAAAATATTTATCAGTGACTAAACAAAACAAGAAGTTACAGTCCAACAAATCTCGATTCTTTGAAAAATTATACAAAATTTTTGTTTTCAAACTTCAGAACATTTTGTTCGATTGTAGCTTTATTAATTAATAATAATGCGATAAACTCATTCAAATCAAACTAATTTCTGTGTGACCGTTTTTCGATGTATGAACATAAACACTTGAAGTAAGTTTGTTATGTGCTGAGAGGCCGTTTTATCCCGTTAGTTATCTTCTTTAAATTTATTTTACATTGTCCGTCTTGAAAGTGCAAATTCCAAAGATTTACGCCGCGCATAAATTATAAAATGTATTGAAACTTTTACTGATCCATAGTACATAAATTGTTTTACACAAGTCAACACCCTGTATAAGTGTTTCTTGATATACAGCGTTAAGATTATTGTTTTTCACAATTCCCTTTCTAGACTGAAATCCTATATCGAAAACATGGTTCAATAAAAGGTAAAAATTGTTTATAATAAAAAAAGACTTTTAATTTTATTTTATTTAATAACTTAACAACACCTACATAAATTTATAAAGTCCAAAAATCGTCACTGTTAATATTTTTACCCACTTTATATTTATATATTTAAAAAAAGTACATTTATTAATCTATTGACCGAATGGTAGCTTTCAGGTCCTAAAACTTAATTTGCCAAAAAATGTTTAAGCTTAAGGTGTAAATGTTTGGCTTAGCTACCTAGTGCTGATTGTTCAGATGATAATGATATTAATGACAGCAACAAAAATAATAATGTTTTAGATAATTTAGATCTAGATATTCTATAGTTTTCTCATATGTATGGTGTTAAATACTGTGTTTAATTAGTAATTATTACAAACTTTAATTATTAGGGATACCTTTTCTGTTAAAAAAATATGATCGTGCCTCATATTAAATAAATTATTTTCGAAATTTAATAATTTGCATAAGAAATACCCATGACACTAATTGTATTTGAAACATATGAGAACACAGGTTCGAGAGGTTAATATGAAGTCATATTTTAAGGTGTTTGGACTAAGAATATTTCCACAACTTTATGTATCTATTGTTACGATGATCGGTGATTAAAAATCGGCGTGCCTAAAACTCAACAATTTATTTCTTAGTATCTCAAATTTACACGACTAATTACACAGCGATTATGTACAAAATAATTCCGGCGCCACTTGAGTGGATTCTCAACATTCACTGGACTCGACCCGATGGCTGAATAATCTCGTTCCCGAAGGTGACCTCTATTTAAACCCATACTTCCCTTCTAGAAGTTCCGCAGTCGAGGTCTTTCTGGAATACCCATCGCGAGTTCCGCTTTCAGGCTTTTCTTTAGCGAACGCCGTCCGGTCGCCGCCCGATTATATCACTCCAAATAAGCCCTATATCAAATTACCTTTAAAACCAAATGACAATTCAAACATGTATACAAAATTTTGTCTTTTGCGTTTTCAAAACAATGTTGTCATTGATGATGTAAGGCTTAAAACATTCATAAATATTTATTAATGAGCTACTAATCAAAATAAATTTATTTTATACTTAAGGCCATTAAATGACCATGTTTAGCATAAATTAGGTGATATGTTTTTTTGTTATTTAATGAAAAATGATACTGTCACATACAGTAATATATTATGCCTTCGTTTTGTAACGCATTCATCAAATAGGCATTAATAGGTATTAATTGCGCTTGTGTTCATTAGTAGTCAACGAGAAACAATACCTATTCTCTTATAAAATATGGATGTCATTCTTAATTGTATTTCTCTTATAGACTTAAGTTTTAAACAGAAACAACAGGTAATATGTACTATGTCTATAAGTGATGTTATTGACGAAACGACACTTGATTGTTAGAATACATCAGCATAAATTCGCTAGTAAATATTCCTATGATAATATGTATACACTCCGCGACAACTGATCAACCTCACCCCCACTTTTCTATGTTTTAGTAGAAATATTGCTGCTTTTTCAAAAATGATAACCTTTGATTTGAGAGCAAATAAAATAGTGTTATTTACGTATATTGCAATTTTTTTTGTTTTCTAAAAAATTTATTAACCTCACCACCAAAATTTTCGCTATTTATCAAAAAATAATAAACTTTGCACATGAAAATGTTGTCACTTTAATTCAAAAATATTAATAATGGGTGCCGGTAAAAGGTTGAATGCTGAAGAAATTGGTAAAAATTTGATCCCGGCAGCCTCTACCCAAAAATTTTAAATTGCAAGAAAAATCGAGTAACCACTCATTTGAAATGTAGTTTGATGCTGTATACCACTCCACCACTCCATACATTATTCTGCGGATTTTTAACACATTATCAATCGTATGATAGATTACTGGGTATTGTTATAACAGCCCACAATACTATCTTCGACATATAAAAAGTTATCACAGATTTTATATTTTTTTATCAGTCACAACAAATATTATTAGAAATTGCGCCTTATAGAAAAACACAAATGATTATCTTAAAAGGTAGCTACGGTTCATTTTACCGTGTGGCATCCCGGATTACCTGAAGCATGTAAGAGTTGTCTCAAATACGGAAAGCCTACTTGAAGTCAACAAACCGAGTTGTTCATCAAACCACCCTCTTTATTTTTTTTTCACCATTTTATTCTTTGTTTTTTTCTTATTTCTTCTTTAGCTTTTCTGGTACAGATTTTCAGACCGTAAACAATCATTCTTGCAGTAAATTTTGTTTTGCTGTTGCAGCATGTTGGGAATTGCATTGAGCGATAAGTCGAATTTTTCCTAATTTCTTTCTTCATCACTTCCAAAATTTTACGAGTGCAAAAATTATTATTCTTTAAGTAATCTCTCAAATTACAAAATATATATTTGCTCTACTAAAATTACTATTTGGAACGCGTTCTCTGAAGCGTAATGTAAAGCACCAGTTTTATATTCTTTTAATGCCACAAATTTTGCACTATTTTCATTACAGTTCTTCTTAGAAACCAAAGCAACAATACATTTTTGGCAAAAATTTTGACTTTTTGTCAAGCTTTTAAGAACGTAACCTGTGCAACTGTACAAAGCATTTTTTTCTCAAAGAAAGTTCTTTTTTCTTCAAATTCCAATTTCTAGGAAAGAGCTAAATTTTCTTTTCGTTTTGGAACATCGTTTTATTTCCTGTTATTATTTTTAATATGACTCAAAAAACCAACTAAAGATGTTGTTTTGTCGGTTTCGTAACTTGAGTTATTTGAAACGTCCAAATATTGAGAAAATGATAAAAGTTTTAAGTCATATTTAAATTCAATGGCCGTAGGGACCGGATGTCTTGGCCGAATTTGAGAAAATATATTTTCTAAACAATCTTGAAAAAATCTCGATGTTAATAAATGTGAGTTTTTTTTTTCGTTCAAAAACAAGTTTTGCAGGTCTAAAATTGATGTTGTAGTCAGTACAACACCTGTTTGAATAGGCTTCCAAACTGCTTTTCCAAATTTGTCAGGAGCGACTTTTAAGTTTAAAAATAACTTAATGAATTCTTGAAGGAACTCTATAGTTTTCCTATAGATAGCCATATTAAACTTGATTAAACTTGCTCAAGGCCAAAATAGTTGATCTAGGACTAATCAACTGGAACACCTATGTACAACATCAATAAAAACAGCTGTCGTTAGAGAGGATTTGTCTTCTCTCTCCTCTTCCGCATCAAATTTTATTCCACAACTAACATTTCGATTCAAAACCTTTAGTGAATTTGACACCTTCATTTTGTTAAAATGGTTACATTGTAAAAGATCCACATTTAATTTAGACGCAAATTGCAGCTCAAATTTGCCTTCTTCTTCACAAAAATCTAATGTGTTGCACGTCAACCAAATCAGAAGTTAGTTTATATTTTTCAACAAAATCATTCGGTAATTGAATGATTTTGTATGTAGCAAACATAGCTTTATATTTTTTAATAAATTAACTGGGTTTAGGACAAGATTTTTTTTTGGCATTTTCTTCCAGTTTTTATTCCAAAGGTTTTCCACATAGCTTGATTCGCCGATCCCATATTTGAGGTTACAGAATGAACTTTCAAACCAGTTGCACTGATTTTCTTAAAAACTTCTTTAAGAACATAAGCTAGAACTGCCCCATTCATACTGGATCCAATAAAATAAGTATGAAACAATTTGTTTTCAGCGAGAAGTAATACCTGCCACAAGGATTACCAACGTTTTTGTCTCTACCCCCTCATGCTTTGGTAAAGTAATTCCTCCAATATACGTCCCACTATGTACACAATAATAATAATTAATCCCAGCTTTTATATCCATTTCGTCCATACAATCCCTCCGAAGATCCTGATTAAGCGAAAAACCCTATAATTTCATTCAAAACTCCAGATTTAAACTCTAAATTTTCCTTGAAAGTGACAGATTTAATCTTATATTTGTTGATTTAATTTAATATTTGATAAAAAAAGATAAATGAAACCTAAAAAACAAAACAGTCCTAAATGCGTTTTTTAAAAATAAGTAGATCCTTATCTACCGGTAAATGTGTGTCAA